TGAATCCAAAATAGCATGGAAAACCTGGCCCAAGTATACAGACAGAATGTTTCGTTTCGGGCGGGTACTGGAAAGAAAGGTATTCCTGGTATCAATACTCGCCACTTAACACACTTCGTATGGTGTCAGAGCCGGAACACTGTCCATTGATGCCTTGGGCCGACTGGATGTGGGTGTCGATACGTACTGAGTTGTGGATGAAATCAAGCAAAAAGACAAGCAGGGCCATCCTTTCCCGGATGCCAGGCGGTTACATGTCCGCTTCGTACATGGAAATGTTGACATCGTAAACCGAAAATCGTAGGGTTTCCCCAGATCTTGCAGCTCTGGAAGTGTATCCAAAAAAAGAACAGGGACTGCCGGTGTGGGGAGAAGCGATCCGGCAACAACCTTACCGGTGAAGATCCGCGTGTGGCGCAGAGGAGCCGGGAGGCTGGTGAGGGAGGGGCAACGTGGTTGCGTACATAGTAGTTGATGAATGTCCCAGAAAAAAATGTCTTCTGGAAAAATGCACACCTCAGGGGATATGGGCCGAATACGGGGCCTCCGTGGTTGGGTGGTTCGCTATCCTAGAGCAGCTGAAAATGCGCTGCAACCAGCGCATAGGGCCCGCTGATCTCTTTGGCTTGAGGCTTGCTAGTGGTCGCCGGGTCTCGACTTTGCATAATAGAGACCACACAGGAGGGGCTAAGGGGCTGTGCTGCCCGCTTGGGAATGGGGGGGAAAAAAAAGGTACGACGTTGACTCGTTGGTGGCGGGCACTTTGGCATTGACTTGGCCCTCACTGTTCAGCAGAGGACACCACCACAGGGGCCGTTAGCGACAGACACGCGACTTTGAAGAGGGCCCAGAAGCGGCTCTGGGGCATTCACACAAGTTGTAGCCAGCATGATGCCAACTTCATGGGAGTTTTCCCCAACATTGATGATGGGATTTGTTTCACCAGAGGCACCCCAAGCCCGCTACAGAAACGGGCCCAGTGTTTGGGGTTGGGTTGTCGGTTGTAGTTGTGTATTCGTATGTCGTAGAAACGACGTGGTAACCAGTCATGATAACCCCGTGTTTCGAACAGAAAAGCTCTAGTAAGTGTGGCGGGGCAGCTCTGGGTGTTGCTGAGCTTTAATATGCAACAGCAGCTTTTGACGTGCCGTGGAGCGACATCCATGACTCGGCGCAGCAGAGACTTGCGACACTCAATATGCCACAGGCTTGTCCTCGTCCTTAAACATTCTCTCATGAGGTATCACAATGATACAAGCATGATGGGACATGTAGGGTGGTAAAGCCGACTAGGAGAGACAAGCATGGACCTGTCAGACAAGAAATGCGATTCTGTTTGGTCTCGCAGGCAGCCATTGAACAAAGAAATTTTTCAAAGGTACATGTTAAACCGGCGTCTACTTTGTCTGTTTTCAGATCAACGTGTAATAGAAACACCACATCCTTCAACGTGTGGTGTGCCACGGCACTTAACGTCCCACACCCACTTCTGGGCACCCCCCACATTTGGGCACCCCATTTACACCAAAAACGCCGTTTTTCGAAATTCTATATTAAACTAACTACTATACTTACTAAGAAAAGAAAATATATATAAACTATGTTAAGTATAATTATAGCCATCTAATTTTTTATAAAGGTTTAAATATAATAATAGTTATAATATAGAAGTTTAAAACTAAAAGCTTTAAAATGTTAGTAGATACTTGTCACAGTTCTATTAGACACAACAGTAGGGATGCCACAGTTATGGGGCTGCCAGTGTGGCTGCCAGTGGGGCTGCCACGCCAGTGGGGCGTGGGGCGATACTGTCGCCCTAGACCGCCCTATAGGTATATTAGACCACCTGTTCGCTAGACCTAGGATAGACCTAACCTAATAGACAACAATGACTAGAACGACTTATTAACTGTGACAAGTGGTAGCACAACCTACTTTGCGATCCCTCGCGACCTCATAGTTAATTTTTCAGCATGGGCAAATAAGCTACTTTTTTCAATCCGTTGAGAAACACCAGACCGTGGCCAATCCGCCCGCACCAGGCTAATTCTGCTGCTAACGCTGCTGCTAACGCCGACGCCGCCAATATGCGCGCACCAGCTATACTATTCGCCTCCCCTCAAGACCCTACGCGAGACCATCACCCCTCGTACCGTCAACGCCGTTATCCCTCTACGCCTACGCCAGCGTGGGACCCAACGGTATGGCCGTCAATTGACGACCTCAAGGCTATCCAGACCCGCCAACAGCGCCCAGAGCCCTGCCGGAAGTGTAGCGCTAGATTCCCCAGCAAGAACGCTCTCTTCCGCCACGTCTATGCCAATAGCTGTGGAAGCCAGTTTCGCTGTCGCATCTGCTATAGCGATTTCACATCTCGCAACGCCCTATTCCGACACCTACAACAGGGCTGCCAGCCCTCAGCCTGTAGGGCTGGAATCCCACAGCAGGAGACTGCTAAGACTACTGCCGAGACTACTGAGACTGCCGAGACTGCCGAGACTACTGCCGAGACTACTGCCGAGACTACTGCCGAGACTGCCGAGACTACTGCCGAGACTGCCGAGACTACTGCCGAGACTGCCGAGACTACTGCCGAGACTGCCGAGACTACTGCCGAGACTACTGAGACTACTGCCGAGACTACTGAGACTACTGCCGAGACTACTGAGACTACTGCCGAGACTGCTGCCGAGACTGCCGGCCAGACCATAGAAGTTATAGAACGGGCTTCTGCGCCGTTTCTACAGACCCTCTTCAACGCCGCTAAGCATGCCCATATCTATACCGAAATTAGCCTCTGTATGACTATGCTACAGTCCCAACGACAACAACAGCAACTGCTTTTCCTACCAGACCCAGGGAGAAGATTCGCAGCCATAACGAACATTCAGCAACGATACGGAGTATTCTGGCCCGACGCCGACAGCAAGTACGGCAGGGAGCCTATATTCTATGACCAACAGACACTATGCTACCGAGACGTAGATCTATGGCTCTTAGCAATTGGAAGGAAAATCGTTAATCCATACGCTCGAGACGAAGTCCTCCGAGAATGGCAGAGCCTACTCAGAGGTAAAGCACTCAGCTGGTGGGAATATCACCTTAGGCCCGTGGAAAGGAACCGGTATAGGGCCCTAGGATGGTACGGCCTACAGAAGGGACTAAGTGCCCGCTTTGGGCCAACCCAGCTAGTTAATTACAGCCAGCCAGCCAGCCAGCCAGACAGTTACGCCCAGCCAGTTAATTACAGCCAGCCAGCCAGCCAGCCAGACAGTTACGCCCAGCTAGTTAATTACAGCCAGCCAGCCAGCCAGCCAGACAGTTACGCCCAGCTAGTTAATTACAGCCAGCCAGCCAGCCAGCCAGACAGTTACGCCCAGCCAGACAGTTACGCCCAGCCAGTTAATTACAGCCAGCCTTAGGCATACCCCCCTATTACGCCTCGCACTAATAGAGGCCTAAGGAAGTCATGTTATTAAGCCGTTTAAAGTCATGTTTAGGCAGCCGAAACGATCGGGACGATCGTCTTTTTCGGGACGGGCACCTGTCACAGTTCTATTAGACACAACAGCAGGGATGCCACAGTTATGGGGCTGCCAGTGTGGCTGCCAGTGGGGCTGCCACACGTGGGGCGATACTGTCGCCCTAGACCGCCCTATAGGTATATTAGACCACCTGTTCGCTAGACCTAGGATAGACCTAACCTAATAGACAACAATGACTAGAACGACTTATTAACTGTGACAATACTAGTAACTTACTAGTATTCCTTAACATTAGAAAAATATATTTTCGCTCATATATATTTATTTAAAAAATCTAGGAAATTAATATTTATACTTATTAAAAGTATATAATTATATCTAAAAGAGATTTAAAAGTATTACTTTAGTAAATATAGTATAATTAAGGGTTAAAATTCTATAATAGAAACTTTTCTTAAGGGAAATTTTAAAATATTATTCTAAGCTTAAAGAATTTTTTACTAAGTATAAGAATATATAAATCTACTATATCTTACTTAAAAATTCTAATCATATTAGTTAAATATCTCTACCTATTTTATATATTAAGATATAGGCTAGGTAAATTAGTATTATAAATATTAAACCTTGAATTTATAATACTTATTATTAATAATACTAGTATATAGCTACTTAAGTATTATAATTAAGTCTTAATCTACTTAACATATATTTATTCTCTTTAATAAGTAAAGTATTTAGTTTAATATAGAATTTCGAAAAACGGCGTTTTTGGTGTAAATGGGGTGCCCAAATGTGGGGGGTGCCCAGAAGTGGGTGTGGGACGTTACTACGTGGAATAGTCCAGGTCAACAAAAGGTCAGGCTCATTTGAATTTGCCGAACTCCGTAAGGCTTTGGCCGATATGAGGAGCAGCGCATTGAGACTTTAAGAAGCTCAAAGCGTGTAAAAAGCTTGTTATTCAGGAAAGGAAAAATTGGGAGAATGGTACGGTGGGATAGATGGTGAGCGCAAGGTTATAATCTCATCCATAGGGCCGACGGGGATGAGGGGGTGAAGATGGAAAATCTGGAGGAAGAAACGTTGGAGAACTGTTGGCGCCCGCTGTCAAACGGCTAAGACAAAGATAACAGCACTAATGGGAAGCTTGGGCCACTGTTCCCCAGGCCGCCTAGAGCCTTGCTGCGGCCTATCGAATGATTTGTTGTCTGGGTTTACAGTGGACCGGCCGCTAAATCACAGCGCAAGGCTGGATCAACTAACTACCCAAGCCGTTATGCACATATTATACCTGAGGTTTCATTGGTTCGTCCCCAGCCTGTACCTCAGATGAGGCTTGACATTGACAGCACACCTCCTAAACTGCCTGTCCCTATACGGCTCTAGCCGACGTCATCACAACTACGAAAACACATTCCTCTATCATCACAATATACCGAGCATGCTTTTCCTACGCCATACAAGTCAATGATAATATTATAGACGACGGCTCCCAGTCGCCCCGACCACTTCGCAATGGCCGAACCCGCTGCTCCGGCCGCGCCGGTCGCCGCAGTGCAAAAGCAATCAAGTCCTGCGATCCCCGTTGGCTTGAACGAAGCCGCACTCGACTCGCCGACCTTCCGATCGACCGCCCAGCATTTCGGGGAGCATATTGACAATGTCGAAAAATGGCTTGATGACTACGTGAAGTCTACCTCTCGAGTCACGCGCGACATGTTGGCCCTTGAAGAGGGCGTCAACACCTACCTTTCCAAGATCTTCCCTCCTGCCGCGACCGCCGACGCCATTATCGATCACGATTACACTTTGCTCGCTTTGCGTAGGATAAGCGATGGTTCCAAGGAGTGGTGGTCGCAGATTATGTCGACCCTGAGAAAGATAGATACCATTTCGGTCGACCCTATCCGTTCATTTGTTGCCGCCGACCTACGGTCGTTCAAAGAGGTACGGAGAGTACTAGAACATACGCAAAGAAATTTCGACCAGGCCATGGCTCGGTATATGAGTCAGTCTAAGACGAAGGAGCCTTCAGCAATTCGGGAAGAAGCCTTTGCTGTATACGAGACTCGCAAAGCGTATTTGAAGGTGGCTATGGATTTCTGCCAGCTTGCGCCGCAAATACGCTTTAGCCTCGATAAGCTGCTGGTGCGGGTTAGCGCCGACTTCTGGAAGGAGATGAAGCGTTCGAGGGATGCCTCTACAGCTTCCACGAAATGGGGTTCCGAGATGGAGCGTATTCGCGGATGGTCTAGGGAGATGGAAACATCAGAGTTTGTATTCAAAAGGGAACTCCAGATTGCCAGGCGTGATATCGGGGAGAGCACTCTACAAGCATTTAAGCCGTCTCGCGAGTTGGAAGACTACAGCGCCTCTACTGTCCCATTCCTCGGATCTAGGGGTCCTGTTAATGTCCAGGCGCATGAGAATTCCGCCGTTATTTCGGAGAAGCAGGGCTGGCTTTTCCTCAAGACCCTCTATGGCAAGCCCGCTAGGTCGAACTGGGTCCGTCGCTGGTACTACTGCCGTGATGGTATCTTTGGCTGGTTGATCAATGGCCCCCAGGGTGTGTTGCAAGGCGACGAGATTGGCGTCCTTCTATGCAATGCCAAGCCTGCTGTGGCTGAAGACCGCAGGTTTTGCTTCGAAGTCAAAACCAAGAGCCAGACCTTGGTACTTCAAGCTGAGACTCAGAGTCAGCTCACTGAGTGGCTTGAAGTCTTTGAAGTAGCCAAAAAGCGAGCTTTTGAGGCTAGTATGGATAGAGACAGCAACTTTTCGCCTGCGGGAGCCGACCCAGCCTTCTCGATCACTCCTCCTCCGCTACCTGAGTTTTCTGCAAGGTCCTTGGATGCATTGGTAGCTGGTGAAGAGCCTGCAGCAACCTTTGATCGGGCTGGCACTCTTCCAGTTCCTGGATCTGACAACAACTTGGCTGGCCGTGCCAGTTTTGACGTAGGTGGCAATGCACCCCGCCGTTCCATAACAGCTCTCGGTCGGGATCTTGGGAGGGAAATGGTCAGAGAAGAAGGTGAAAGTAACCGTGAGCATGCTGCGAGGATCATACAGAAGTTGGATCTTCACCGCAAAGCGACTTTTGGGGCCGGCGCCGAAGCTGCTGTTGCCGCAGCTGCTACACCCAGCAGTGGCGGCATCGCAGGTATGATAGCGAGTCACGGTCACCTGCCTGGATACCCTTCTCCTCCTCAAAGCACACCAAGGAACATGTCCGCGGCAAGGTTTCCTACCCTTGATCCGGCTCAGGGAACTCTGGCTCCGTTGACGCTAGCGAGACCTCCCGCGGCAACCAACCTGAGCAGAACTGCAGTCATGTTTTCGGTTGACAGAAGCATAATGGGCGACAACACAAGCCATATGCCCACCGCTGTTCTTGCAAATTACTGGGGAAGCAGCCCATGGAGCACAGTCTATGGCTCAGGTCCGGGCCGTCCTAACACTCCTGGACAAGTCGAAGAGAATCCATTCGGAATAATCGTTCGAGAAGTAGGTAAAACTGGCGAAGAGAAGCCCACGACGCCTACAACTGGACATAGAAAGACGGTTAGTGTCGATGCCAAGTTCAACCAACCGCACGCTCCAATTAAACAACCTGTCGAAACATTTCCACCAGGGTATCCTCCGGAGCTGAGAATCCAGCACCATCAATTCAGAATTCTGTTTCCCACCGTCCCTCTTGATGAGAAGCTCGTCCTCGTTTTCCGTGCTGCCTGGTCAAGCTCATCGGGCAAAGATTCTCCATCGAATGGACAAGGTCTTGCCGGCAACGGCCGCATTTACATCACGCCTGACAACATGTACTTTTACGGACAGCAGATGGGCCTTGTCGTGGCTTATGCTATCAGTCTTGACATAATTGCCGAAGTCACAGCAGCACCCGGGAAGGAATGTGATTTCATCTTCCTTCATCTCGGCGAGGACGGTAACGAGACCGGATACACTAGAATCACGATCAAGATCTTCCTTGACAACCTCCATTTGCTACATGCAAGACTGAACCTGCTCATCGACGACCTCCAGTCGGAAGAGCCAATGGAGTTGCCGGAACTCATCACTGCATTAGTTAACCTGGAATACGAGGATAACAGCAAGCGGAGCCCGAGCGTTGAAAGCTGGGAAGAAATTTCATCGAATACGCCATTTGATGATGGGACCCATTCTGGCCGTCCTGCCAAACGCCCAAATCAGTTTGGCCCAAGGCTTCGCCTATCAGGTCCAAGTACCCGGCATACACCCAAGCTTCAGTTACCAGCGCATCCCGTTGTTTTTGAACCCGAAGACATGCAGAGGAAGGTGGCTGAGAGGCACTTCGAGATTAGCGCCAAGGCATGCTTCCACGTACTGTTTGGAGATAAGAGCTTTGTGTTCCCGAAGCTCTACTTTGAGCGTAGGGCACAGCAAATCGCTCAAGGTCCATGGGCTCTCGCAGACCACGGCCGAATGAGGCGAGAATTCCAATTCAAGTTCGATTACAAGGACATGCTAGGCCGGCCAAAGACTGTGGATGTCATTGACTACCAGACCATGGACGTGTTCCAAGACCACGTTACGTACGTCGTCACTCACGTCAAGACAGCATGGCATCTTCCACACTCCCAGTACTTCAAGCTTGTGACAAAGATTGTCATCACGCACGTGGCCAAGTCAAAGTGCAAGCTGGCCATCTACACAAAGGTGGACTGGTCTAAGATGCCAGCCTTCTCCAAGGGTCTTGTCGAACGACAAGCTCTTAATGATGCAGAAGGCGACGCAGAAGAATTAGCGGATGTGGCAACGGATCAGGTACGCAAGCTTGGCGCTCACAGCCGTACGAAAAGGGCAATCCAAGTCTATGGAAACATCGGACAGCAAACACAGGTTGTAGTCTTCTCACCAGCCGATGCTGCTGCGTCGAAGAAACAGCTGATCAAACCGCGCACGCTAACGGCTATGCTCTTGGAGACACTACGTTCCTTCGGTGAGAGTGCGGTGACATCGCTTATCATGTGGGCAATCGCCGCAGTGCGCAAGTTCTTCAGCGTATTGTCGACCCACCGGCTCATTCTTATCCTTCTGGCTGGAAGTACGTTCACGAATGTGTTCCTGACGTCGAAGGAGAGCTCTACTTGGTGGACCGAGAGACGAGCCGCTAAATTCATGAGCCGCGTTGGTGTCGGCCCGAACGTGATGATGAGCAAAGCAATCTACATGGCGGACTTGGGTGAGGCAACAGGAGCAGTGGGCCACAACAGTTCCTGGCCTGTTGATAGTGCCTGGTAAGTATCGTCGAACCGCTTATATGAACCAGGGGGTATCAGTCGCTAATAAAGTGCAGCTTCACAACCTTTCAGTTGGTTGCAAACGCCACCGATCTCGACGCGCCATTCGAGGACGCAGGGTCGACCCTGTCAACGGCGACAAGCCGAGCAACAGCTCGCCGACTTCGTCGGACGCGTCAGCGCCTGGGGTCATATCGGCATGATCTGTTGGTTGCGATGCGCATTGTCAACAGTATCGAGCGGGAGATGGTGCAATCTGAGTGGGAGAACTGGCTTTCCGACGAGAATGTCCGTTGCGATAAACTCAAGTCGGTGCTCGACGGAGACGGGCCAAGTGCCAAGTCCAAGCGGAACGGCGATCAAAAGGTCATGACGCCGAACATTGACGAGGGCAAAAGGGAGACGTTGAGAGAGTGGTACGATACATATTGCGGAAGTTGTAAGTTGGATCATGCGGCGTTGATGAGCGAGCGAAATTCTTTGGCGGGCCTTTGAATGGATTGCGTCCATATATGAATCGAACATAGACGCCCTAGGCGCCCACAGTCCCTTGTTTAAGTCTTGTTTCGAACAGTTATCCGTTGCTTTACTGCTTGCCTTTACAATACTACACGCAACAATTCCCCTACAAGCACGTACGAAGATTATAATTGCTATTGCTTAAAACCTTTTTTTTATTTGTACTTCACAGTATGTATGTGGCTGTAGGAAAGGCGGTTGAACTGCGTCAAGATGTAACAATAGGAGAGCAGCTATTAGAAAGAAGTCGGACAGACGCTAGAAGAAGCCTTGTCTCGGCTAACTCGGCCGATTTCTTGGAGTTGTCCGTCCGTTGACAACATTAGGTGACTTTTATGTATATCATCATGATGCGATCCGATTGACAGCGGGATTCGAAAAGAAAGAGACGGAAAAACAGGTTAAGTGGCCAGAACTAGGTTCAGCCCCATCGAATAAGACTAGGGGGCTGAAGAAGGCCTCACGTGCACTAGCACCAGGAACCGTCAGCCATAAGTAATCACCTCCGATCCAGGCGGACGGGCCCGACGACGTACTACGTAGGGCAAGCAAAAGCATGAAACCCACATCCCGCGTCCCAGCATCCGTTTGCTCATATGTTGGAGAAACGCCGCCCTTTGACAGGTCAAGAGGTCGGATGACAGCCTTGGGCGACGTAAATTCCCCTCCCTGATGGGTTAGAACAGCGTGTAGGGGCCGCTGCAAGTCAAGCCAGAATGAGAATGTGAGCTTGTCTTCCTGAAAGGAGTGAGAACCAGAAGAAAGGGAGGAGCCGCACTTGACTTCATAGCTAGAGGCGCCATCCAATTACGACGTCGGGTCCGCGGATAGAATACGCGCATTGGGTCGTTTTCAAGACGATCTTTGCGGATTTCTCCACTTTTCCTTCGATCCCCTGAAGGCTGGACCTCATTGTGGGTCCCACGGTCACCAATCATGACGTCTACCTGTGCAGGGACAACCCCTCCTTTCTCCTCCCTCTTGCAGGACAGTAAACCGTGCGATATGTGACGTCAGCGCTGGGGGTAGCAAACGCGGTGAGATGGCAGGCAAGAGCAAGAAAAGCAACAGGGGAAAGGACCAACGGTCTCAAGGCGATTGGGGTAGGAGTGCTAGATATTTACAGGAAAGCAGAAGGGTAAGGGTTGACAGCAAATTGACAGGCGGGTTAAAGGCATGGAGCATAAGGTCCGCTCGAGTCCTGACGACGTCAAAGCCCCTCCAAAATACACAAACTACCTTGCTACGGATCATTCCCTGAACGGTACTGAAATAGACATGCATGAGGATGGAACGACGTAGTCTCAAGCCACGGCTAATCCATTCTCTCCCCCCTCGCACCCTTACTCGCTTCTTCTTCTTTTTTTTTAAGCCACATGGTAACCTCCGCAATCCGCAGCAAAGGACCCTTCCTGAAGTTTATTACCAAAAGTCTCCATTTTGCACAGTAATCAACCAGCCTAATTCCGACAAGCAAGCATCACCACACACCTAACAGCATTTACCTTGCTCCTGCACGAACGCTCCCTTCTGCGAAGCGCCTCGGCACCCGTACGGACCCCGATCACAATCACCTGTTGTGCAACCTCTCAAAAAACATCTGAGAAACCCAAAGCACCACTATCCGACATCCCGCGGTTGCGTTTTGTCTTTGTGTGTTCCTTCGGTCCACTCGGTCGGCTAGTCCGGGCTATGACATTATCACTTTTTAACGACTAGCACCTAATCTCGCTCTCCTCCCACTCTTATTGAACGTGTCACGGCAAACACCAGCAAAATGACACCGCATCACGAGCCCTTCAAGTCCCTCGCGCCCGTCACCTGGGCGGCGGTCACGGAAGAAGACCCCAAAGCCTTCCTCGCAAATGTCTTTTCTGATGCCCAAACAATCATCAACTCAATTCCCGCCCCTGAGCCCGTCAAGCAGGCAACGACAGGTCGTGCCCGCTCGCAAACCGACCCTCCCCATCCCGTCGCTGACCTAAACCATGCCGTCTCCCAGCAGCGCCAGTCCGCCGCTGCACTCAGCCTATCGCGTGATCTATCAAAGGAATGGAAGGAGGTGAAAGTCAACCCTAGAGACAACCCGCTCGCGATCAATGTTTACAAGCTCGCTGCCAAAGACGGCAAGGGCAGCTGGTTCGCACGGCGGAGCGTTCACGACGGCCTGACCTATGAGAAATGGAAGCTCGGGCTCGAGAGGGAATTCGCCGAGTCCATGAAGGTACAGAGCGGGCCCGGAGCCGGCGCAATTCGTGGTATTGGCGCGGACAAAAGAGTAGTGCACCAGGTTGTCGATGGCGCGGGGAAGATGCAAGGTGAGCTCGCCCATGTCAACCATCCGTAGTTGCTTGTGTGCCCTGTTGGCTGACGGTGGCCTTTCCGCAGTGTTTCAATTGTCAGCGCAGTTCCCGGGCCCGACCGCTCCGAGAGACTTTGTAACCCTGCTCCTTACTTCCGAGTTCTCCGGCAACGCCCCCGTGGAAGAAGGCCGAAAGAGGCCTCTGCGATCATTCATGATTGTGTCGAAGCCATGCGTACACCCCGAATGCGCTGAGCGGCAAGGCTACATCAGAGGCCAGTATGAGTCGATAGAGATCATCCGCGAGATCCCATCCGATAAGCCATCAATCACCCGCGCAAGGTCATCTATTGACCTTAGTCACGACAGCCCAAAAGAAAGGCAGGCTGTAGCCGAATCAATGGGAAGAGAAGCAGTATTGAGAGCAGCCAAAAAGTCGGCGGAAGGGGAGGGCGGTCGGCAACGTGGAACATCCGTAGACAGCGCCCCCGCGAGAGACGATGCCGGACATAACGATGATGGAGCTGAGGAGGAATCAACGACATCGATTGAATGGCTTATGGTTACTCGCAGCGACCCCGGCGGAAACGTGCCTCGGTTCTTGATTGATCGTGGTACCCCAGGTGGAATTATCGGTGACGCTGGAAAATTCATCAAGTGGGTGACGGCCAAGGCTTCAGAAGACTTTGCGTCTTCAGATACCGAGCAGGAGGAGTCAAAGGAGGCGGCCAAAGAAGCCGAATTAGAAAAGGCTACCTCTCCAACCGAGATTGCCAAGGAGCCAACATCCAATCTGGTGCCTGATGCATCGGTACAGGATGATACAAATCCGCCAACCAGCAATGGTCTTTACGGTATTATCTCAGGCGCATTCGGGATGGCCGGCTCCGTGGTGGCAAGCCGCTTGCCGAACGGCCTGCCCGGCATGTTTCAAGCACCGAGCACTAACGGCTCGATAGCTGAAGAAGATGAAGACGAGGACGAGTCTAATGAGAGCGATACTTCATCCATCCGAAGCTTCGCCTCTGCTGTTGAGAAGACGGACGAGGGTGAGGCCGTCACTCCCCCTGACGTGCCACAGCCTGACGCCATGTCTCTGAACTCGTCCGGCTCCGGCGCGGGGTCCCTGAGCAAGAGTACTTCATCGCATCACGAGCGGGAGCTCAAGAAGCTCCAAGACCGTCGAAGGAAAATGCAGGAGAAGATCAATAAGATGCAGGAACGCATGTCTAGCAAGCGTGCCGAGGATTCTCAGCGCGATTCGGCACAGTTGGCCAAGCTGCGCGAGAAACACGATAAGGAGATTGCAAAGCAGGAAGAAAAGTACAAGCGCGAGCTGAAACGGCTTGAGGAGCGACGGGAGCACGATGAACGCAAGGCCGAAGAACGGCGTCGAAAACAGGCTGAGAAGGAAGAGAAGGGAAACATGGCCATGGAGCTCGAGCGAGTCAAGGCCGAGCGTGACGTCGCGTTGAAGCAAATTGAGATTCTCAAGGGACAGATTGGAGAGCTGCAGAGCCAGAACACCATGCTGGTGGCCAAGATGGGCCGCATGGGTGGCTTGAAGAGGGAGGATTCTGCGGCATGGAGCACGGCCGGCGAGAGGGTGCCCCAAAGCGTCTCAAACTAGGGCCTGAGTAGTCTTGGGATGTCGTTCGCCCTCAGGCGCAGATAATCGGATTCTCGAAGTCGAATTGTTATATCGCATGGACTGGATACCCGGCTTGTTACCCTCGAGGCGGAAGACGAGACATGATTTTTGTTTATACTACGAAGCATTGAATGGCGTCGGGCGTCTTAGCCTTTCTTTTTTTTCAATTATCAAACCATCGGTTGTTTCTTCTTGTTCCATGTTCCGTTGTTTCAATCTAGAAGCATTGTACACGAAGCATTTTCAAAAAAAAAAACAAAAGGTCAACTTTTAGCTCTATTGAAAATCTATATCCAGCTTTTTTTTCTTCTTTATTTCCATCTAATAGTAAGAAACAAAGAAACTATATCGTAGCCATCTCATGCAATAACCCGTGAAGTCTACCGCCCTCCCCAACACTCCTCAACTCGGCCAACTTCTTCGTCACCTCGGACCCGGCGCTCGTCTTGGCCAGCGCCGTCGCGCAGAGCACGATGCGTGCGCAGACGGCGTAGACATCCGGCTTCGACGTCCATCCCAGCGGCCCGTCGTCGGTGTGTACCTCCCTCGCAAGCTTGAGGAGGGCGTCGAGGCCGTCCGAGGTCCACTGTGCCAGTTTCTCGCCGTCCGCGTCGGTAGACCGTTCGAATACGGCGGTCCAGCGGTACGACTCGCGGACTTCGTCGATGAAGAGGTTTTGTTCTTCGACGGCGAACAAGGAGTCGTCGAAGCGGAGGGACTCGGTCAGTTGCGCCTCTGCAGCGGTCCAGGCGTCGGCTCGCGCTTGGCCCGTAAGACGGGATAACAGGAGGGCGTGGAACGCCGGCGCGGAGCGGTACTTTGTCGAGATGTAGGTCAGCAGGCGGGATGCGGCATCCATGGACGCCAACGACTGCGAGAAAATGTGCTTGGCCGAGACGGCGGCCAGGTCGCGGACTTCGTAGTCGTCGTCGTTCAGCGCGTCGTAGAGGGCGACGAGGGCCGGTAGTAGCGATGCGTCGGCGTCGGGGTTGTCTCTCTGTGATGCGACGGAGAAGAACGACGCCAGCGACGCTACCGCTGCGATGCGTGTGTCGAAGGGGCTTGAATCCTCGCCTGCTGACGACATCATTCTGCCCCATCCCCGGAGACCCGAGGCCTCGGCGGCGCCACGGGAGACGAGGGCTGCCATCAGTGGGCCGCTGACGCGGATTACGGCGTTGGAGAGGTTGGGGTTCATCGCCTTTGAGGACGCGTCTTGCCAGAGAGAGACGAGGCTCTCGGAGGTTGGGAGAAGGTCGGCACGGTTCGACGAGAGGACGAGGTCGAGCGTCTCTGCGAGGTTGTTCAGGGCGGCGGCACGGGAGTCTGGGTGCGATGTCGAGAGGGCTAGGTCGGTGTACAGGTGGGAGTAGGACGCAGCTTCCTCGGGGGAGAGACGGGGGTGTCGGATCGAGGCGAGGGTCTCGAGGGTTGTGATTGTTGCCTCGACACTTGTCCCGCTCGTGGAGAGTAGTGTCTCGCGGAGAGAGGAAGCGGCGGGGTTGATGTGTACCGCGCTTATTGCCAGCTGGGTGCGGAGGAGGGCACTTTGCGGCGGTTGAGCGATAGAGGCGGGTGTGGATTGGGGGCTGGTGAGGTTGAAGAGGGAGATGAGGTTCTGAACTTCGAGGTAGGCTGCGCGGATGTCGGGGCAGTCCTTGAAGGATGACACGGCGTTGGCCTCGAGGCTCTGGAGGATGGAGGCGAGGCGAGGGAGGGCCAGCGAGAATTTCTGGGGGGAAACGTCCGAGAGTCTCTCAAAGACGGCCTTGACTGTGAGGAGGCTGCCGTGGAGGCGGTTGTTGCGGTTTGAAGAGTCGGACGACAGGGCGTCCTGGATGATCTTCTCTGCGGCGCTAGGCCAGTCTTCGTCGCGGAGCAGAAACGAGCACAGAGCTCGCGCAGCCATTTCCCGGACGTGCCAGACAGGGCTTCCGAGATAGCCCGTGACGAGTTCGTAGAGTTCATCGCGCGAGGCTTTCGGAGGACCGGCGCGGCGGATGATGTCCAGTGCTGGGAAAACGGACTCGGCCGCAATCGTGCTTGTGCTGGGTTTCATGACCTCGCGGCCGGAACGGAGGAGGTTGAGCAAAACGTTCGGGAGAATGGGGTACTTGTGGTACTGGAGGCGCGTCGTTCTCCCATCCCAGCCTGCCTCGAGAGTGGCCTTGCTCTCGTTCGTGCCGAAGAGGTTATCCAGGAGACTGCGCAGGAAGAGGAGACCGCAGTTTCGAATGGCCCACACCTCGGACTTGAGGCTGCCGGCTGCCAGTTCTAGACACTGCGGGATATGCGGAGCAGATTTACCGAGTTGAGTGATCAAAGAGCTTTTGAACGTGTCCTTGAGGCAGTTGAGGGCGTGGACTTGAGGGAGCTTGGAGCCGTCTGTTTCCGAGACGCGGGCTTCCTTGCGGGCAATTGTGACAAGCTCATCGATGACATGATCGAAGGAAGGCTTTGCTGCGTCCGCGGACAAGATACCTGTGATCATTGCTGGGATACCGGCAGATCTACGGGTTGTGGATGCCTGAGCAAAGATGCACTCCTTAGTGCCCTGGTACCAGACATCGAGAAGTGTTTTATCGCCCTCCTGGCCAGCCTTGGGGTCGTCGAGACGTTTGACCAGTTGACAACAAGTAGCAAATGAGAGAGACACGGTGTTGAAAGCACCACGGTGTCTCAGGTTGGAGAGCTGGTCAAAGGTAAGAGATCCGACAGCGGTGAAGAGCTCAGTCGAAGGACGCAGGATTCCCTGCACAGGCTTGGATTTGAGCGGCAGAACCATGACGCGCATGAGATTGCTGGACTCGTGAATGGCGCGGAAACTGTAACTCAGAAGGTCCTTCGTGTCGAGTCCCTCGAAATCTTCCAGCTCCTGAGGCAAGTGGCCTTCCGGAGAGTCGTCACAGAGGATGTCCCTAACGGCGGCCCAAATGCGTTGACAGCATTTCACAATCCGGTTCTGGAGATTTGTCATCGCCTCAACTTCAGCCTCGGAAAACTTCATCTCAGTAGTGGCTTGCCAGATGTAGCGAAGAGAGGCGAAGTAGCCGTGGACAGGCGCCTCCAGAACGGCATTTCCCAGATCAGCTTCGGCAAGTGAGAGTTTGCTCTCGAGCACATCCACTAATTTCGCAATGTGTGCGATTTGCGCATCTCTGCCGTCGTAGAATCTGAATAGAAGCTCGTTTGTCCTAGCCACACCATCTGCATGGTCAGCACGGGCAGTCCTTCCTGCGACATCTTCGGCCCTCGTTAATAACTCCTCCAGAGTAGATGATACTCCCCTTGTTCCCACGAGGCATTTGAAGCGCTTGTCTGAGAACAAGCTCTTCAACACGGAAGTACTGGCATCTCGCACATCATCAAAGGGATCCATGATGAGATCCAGGAGGGTTCGAGTCCACCTTCCGTCAAAGTGGCTGAAGAACAGAGCGTCGTCCTCTTCGGTCTCCCATGTCTTGGCAGGGTCGAACTCGAGCTTCAGGATGTAAGTGACTGCCTTTAATGACGTAAAGTGTCGCTGGAATGAAGCAGTGGGAATCAATTCCGATCGCAAGAAGCGAAGGTACCATGTCAAGAAATCCTCGTGATGCCTCAAGCTTTCACGTAGCTTGTCTTCCGGCCAGAACAGAATGTTGGTCCGATGGTTTGCCTGCTTCGCAGGTTTAGGGGCGGGCTTAGGCTTCCCCTCAGCAGGCGCCAGTAGTGCCTTCGCAGCGTTGAGCCGAGCCAAGCTCTTTTGCAAGATGAAGATGGCACCACGGTTCCTCTTGAACATATCCTTCAGTTTACTGAGCACTTCCATGCGGAACTTCGCATCTGATTCTGAGAAGTACGCTGGCAGATGGGACTGCAAGAGACGAAGAGCCGCCGGTGAATAGGGTCTCGTCGTTGACGGAGATGCGATAATGAGTGACAAGGCGAGGGACCGAAGGTCGTGTGAAGGGTGAGAGAGTACTTGTTGCAGCACAGCCTCCTCCAGCACTACTGATGAGGGATCCTGAATGATAGCACCTGAGATAACCTTCATTAACGACAATCACTTCGGGAAGCAGTTCACATACCAGGTTCTTCAACCATGCCGACCTTCTTTCCCACCTCCAACACAGCAAGGTTGAGCTGCGCCAACGTATCCAACTCAACACCAGATTCGGAGGCAGACCAAGAGCTGTTGATCTGCTGCAGAATCTGGACCGCGTCCTTGCGGTCATCCTTGAAAAGGGGGAGAAAAATATATGTCTTGACGCCTTCAAGCAAAGACGGCGCCTCATTGATAGCAGATTGCACACAGCGGAGCCAGGCCTTGACAGTGAACTGCTCAATGTCCGCAGCTGAAGGGTTATTCAGGGACCTTTGTCGCAAAGCACGGAAGATAGTCACGATAAACTTGCCTGTAATTGGGCAGACATAATGCATAGTCATCCAAGCAAGCATTTGTCTAAAGAAATCTTGCCAGAGCGCAATTTCTGAATCCCAGCTACATGAAGGCTGCGTTCGTTTGTAACTTTCGGCAATGTCCTCAACAGTAAAAGCCTTGGAAGTTAAGGAGTCCATAGCCTTCAGTGACGACTTCACTAAAGGCTTGGAAGACTGTGGTCCAATGATGGAGATAAGCGTGTCAAGGATGGTCGTCTTGACCATCTCAGCAACGGCCTGGTCGGGGTTGCGCCGCATAAGCGACGGCAGCAGGTCCAGAACCAACTTCATAGACCGGTGCTGCTCTGTCTCGTTCCATTTGATGAAGAAGTTAAACAGGCCCAGACTGGGCTCTTTAGAGAAGGCCCATTCTTGTATGGCTGGCTTGCTGGACTTGGAGCTTTGCTCGACAAACCCGCACAATTTCACGCACGAATTGCCCGAGACACCCTTTGGCTGGGCCGCCAGGGATAGAAGATGGTCAAACACATCTTGCGCAGTTCTAGAGGGGCAAACTGTCAATTGAGTCCTACGATGAAAACAAAAATGAAAAAGAACAAAAAAAGTTTTAGGGATGCAAAATGCTTCTTACGATGACCATGACTCGGCCGGTTGTTCTTCGACCCATTTGAGCAAGTCGCTGGGGTTGACGAAACTCTCGTACTTGGGGACAGTATCTTGCTTCATCGCGATCTCATAATGGAGGGGCACGGCGAGTGAGTAAGTTGAATGAGGGGCACAGAACCAAAGTACTGGCCAAAAGAGTGACAGGGGTGTTGATCCTCAGTGTGTTAGTGGCGATAAAGGCGTGTACCCAGTCCGAGATTTGGTTTTTCCCCTTGGATCTTACATAAAATGCCAATGCAAGATGAATCACGGAATGATTGAATGCTGTACCGCGTAGTGACATGCAATGAATTTTCACCGAGGGGCACAGGTAATTGGGCGGGCTCGACTTGGCCGACGGCGTAAGACTCATTCTGGAGGTACCTTTTCGAGTGGCGGCAGCCAATCGCCTACGACTTCTGGAACGACGTGTGCACGGATCACACCCACACGCCAACCCCTCTGCCCTAATTAAAAGGAAGCCGCCCCGCCAAAACTTTTCGACTTTTCCTTCTTTTTTCGATCATCACCCAATTTCCATCAACATCTACCGTAAGCACCAGATTCCTGGGAGATATCGCCAAGATGTCGAAAATTACGGTCGCCAACGTCCGCGCTCAGGTCGCCGAGCTCCTCGAGTACTCCCTCGAGACCAAGAAGCGTAACTTCCTTGTTAGTGTTCTCCCGGTCGGCCACGGAAATTTTTCCATTCGCCATCACAGGTGATTTGAGGAAATCAATTCGTGTCGCCCAACGTCCTCTTTCAACCACCTTCGCTAATGTCCACCACAGGAGTCTGTCGAGCTTCAGATCGGCCTCAAGAACTATGATCCCCAGCGTGACAAGCGTTTCTCCGGCACTGTCCGCCTGCCGATCATCCCCCGTCCCAACATGAGCATCTGCATTCTTGGTGACCAGCACGATATCGACCGTGCCAAGCACGGTGGTGTTGACGCCATGTCCGCCGACGATCTCAAGAAGCTCAACAAGAACAAGAAGCTGATCAAGAAGCTTGCTCGCAAGTACGACGCCTTCGTCGCTTCCGAGACTCTGATCAAGCAGATCCCCCGTCTCTTGGGTCCTGGTCTGTCCAAGGGTATGTTGAACCACTCTTGAAAGATTTTCGAGACAAGGGCAATCGCTAACAGTCGCACAGCCGGCAAGTTCCCCACCCCCGTCTCCCACGCCGACGACCTTACTGGCAAGATCAACGAGGTCAAGTCCACCATCAAGTTCCAGCTGAAGAAGGTTCTCTGCATGGGTGTCGCCGTCGGCAACGTTGGCATGACCCAGGAGGAGCTCATCGCCAACATCATGTTGGCCATCAACTACCTGGTCTCCCTTCTGAAGAAGGGCTGGCAGAACGTTGGCAGCCTTACCATCAAGGCTACCATGTCTCCCCCCAAGCGCCTCTACTAAGCGCGTCGTCAATTTTCTACGGCGCCTGTGGTAGAGTACCGCTGGGGTTGCGATCTCACGCGCTTGTAATGAATGCCTGAGAACGCCGAACCTGGACGGAAAAAGCAGTACGGGCAATCATAGAAAGCTCTGCGCTCGGATTAGGAGCCGGTCAATATACTATTCTCCTTCTCCGAATTATTTTTTTGCCATCTGAAATGTGAATACGTAAATAAACAGTTGATAAGACCATCCAGTCCCTGCTTACCGCCTGCCTGCTGGGAGGTACAACATAAGGTATTCAGCATAGAAGAAAGTACAGAGCTAGCTGTTGAGATACTGAGGCATTCAGCAAACTCCGCGTTCAGTCGCGCAGTCCCAAACAATCAGTAAAGTTTTGGTTCGCTGCAAAGATAGCAGCCGCACGCTTGGCAGTGTCGTCGGCTTTGGTGTTCAGCTTGCGAGGAATCTTCCAGAGCCGAACATTCATCCCATTCTCGTGGAACTTTTCGATCTCCGAGAGCAGCATTTCCCATAAGTCCCGGTTCTTAACAGGCTTACCGGTGCTCAAAACCCACCCTCTGCGCATCCACGAACGTGCCCAGGAGGTAGCGCCATTGACAACATAGGTCGAGTCTGTTGCGATGACTAGGCTTCTGAATCCCTCAACAGGCCAAAAGCGGAACCGCAAAGCGGCGATGACGGCGCGCAGTTCGGCACGGTTGCTCGTATGATGGTATAGCTTACCATCAGGTCCGCATTCCTCAAGGCGGAAGCCAAAGCATCCCGTGTCCGTGCTGGAAGTTGCAGGCTTAAAAACGACGCCACACCCGGCGCGAGCGGCGAACGTGCCGTTGTTGGAACAGGCTCCATCGGTGTAGATGAGTATTTCAAGTGGATCGCACCGGTTGGTAAAGCGCTTCGAGGAAGGGTCGTGAGAGAAAAGAGCCTGCGGAGACTGATTGAATATATTGTTCATATAGAACTCGCTTGGGAAAACGGTACCGCTGGCTTTCCTTGACGCAATCCTCGGAATCCTCAGGATTCTCAGCGGCGGAATCGTACCCTCATCATTTGAGCTCTTAGAGTCCCCATCACTGTAGGTTTTTATGATTTTAAAAGCGTCGATCAAGGCAGGGTAGTCGGCCATGTCGCCGCCTTTCTCGGCCGAGTTGTTTTGTCCCTGGTGAGGATCACGTCCCTGTCGTCTGGACTCGCTCTTCTCTTCCTCGTCGTCATTGTCACTTGATTCAAGAGCAAGGCTGAAATCAAGACAGCATCGGCCACAGACAACCTTTCGATGGAGTGCGCAAAAAGGCAAGAATTGCCCATTTGGTAACTCCACGTGATCAATCTCTGGCCGTACCATTTTCCAATATCAAGGATTTAATAGTCGAGCAAAACGAAAAGAACAAAGGTCGCACAGAAAATAGAATTCAGAGTTTATCGAGTATGGGTGTCATTTGTAGGAGGGGGGGGGGGGGCGGGGAACCTGCAAAACAAACGGATCAATACCTCCCTTGATCTGATGCGACCTTTTGTCCACCAAACGACCTTTCGCTTTTACGGAACCTTACTGGTGAGAAGTTCATGCAGTTTGCCGGTTGCAATTCAGGTGTAGCGGTACCTGGCGCCCAAACCAAACAAAAAATGTTGCCCTGTCAACATACGAATGCATCTGAGTATAAAGTCTTTGAGACGACTGCTAAATCCCTTCTCTAGAAGAAATGGTTTTTGGTACATTGGTCCCTTGATATCATTTCTCCAGTGAAGGATCTGTTCAAGGGGGATTCGCAGTGATGCCCTTGATACGGTGCGGTAGCAGGCAGCATCCCTTGTCTGAGGTTTCCTTTTTTTGTCTTGGCGACCAGTACTATAGCACTTGAAGCGTACTTTCGTAATTGATTCCGTGGACTCATTGCCAGGCTGAAGTACAAATGTAGGTATCGACAGGTGGTTGGCAAAGCCCATTTCTCCGTTTGCTCTGCGGCAACTCTAGACTCGCCTTGGCTTCTCCAAGCATTGCTGCAAATATCAAACGCTGGTCGCGATTGTTGTCTGACGAGAAGCACCTCGGCACATTGAGTATGTTAAGTTCGATGTGAAGATCTGGTAGACGGACACAACATCACTTATATGAGCATGGCGCGTAAAACAGGTTGTAATTCATTCCCATCTAGAAGGATGGTGGGTATCTATCTAACGTATTTGCTCATGAATCGTCGGTGGAAGTCTGAGCGAAGGAGGTCCTGTTTCCATGTTAGCATAATCGTCATCTTATCCCTGCGCGGCAAAACTCACATTGATGAACTCTTTGCTCTTTCCCTTGTCTTCTGTGCCTCTCGCCTGGTTCTTGAAAACGACATCGTCGTCCCACCGCCGCTTCATGTTAAAGTCGGGCTTGTTGAGCAGGGGATTTCCCAGTGCAATGTCCCGCTCTCTCTCCTCCTCCTCGGCCTTGGCCCTCTCTCTTTCTTCACGCTCCCTCTTCTCGGCCCTCTCACGCCGAATCTTCTCCATCTCACGTTGCAGCTCTGCCTCCTCATCATCGCTGTCTTCGTCACTGTCGCTGTCGTCATCCTCTTCTTCGTCGTCTTCTGAATCGGCATCTATGTCTCTTGACTCCTCCAGTATCCTTCGCCGCTTCGCTTCAAAATCTTCTTCGCCGTCCGCTTGTGATCCCGCCTCAAGAGCGCGCTTCACGCCGCTGGCAGGCGCCTCATCGTCATCTGGGGAGGCGGAGGGAGGTGCGCCACCGTTCTTCTTGGAGAAGTGAGCGGCCTCAGCGGCGAGAAGCTCGGCTCTCAGGTCGCGGGGTTCATCGTCAGCTTCGCCGCCCTGGCCGGCCTGGCGGAACTTGAGCTGGGTGTGTGCAGGCAGGAGGCGTTGATGGTAGGCCGGGCCACGGAGCGCTTCTTTGCCTCGAGCCTATAACAAGTCATTAGCAGAGGAACATCGGCGGAGAAGACAAAGATGTAGAACATACCGGATCAAAGGTGGGACGGTGAGCGGTGGTCATCTTGACGTGCTGTGTTGGGGCGCAAAAATAATGTTGGAAATGTTGAAGTTGGTTGGAAACTAGACGTGATTGGGACCTTCTCCAAATGCACTCCTGCGCGCGCAGGTTGCTGACGGGTCCGGGTTGCAGGGGTGCGACAGGAACTAACCTGGAAGGCTTCCACCGCCTGGCAGAATTTTTGCAAGCGCCCCACCAATGCGATTGACTTCACTAAACACCTTCACTAAAACTAGAGAGGGCTCTGAATCTGAGCATATGAGACGGCTCTTTGCAGCAATCGTTCAACCGCAAAGATGCCCAGAGAAGCCGAGCCGTCAGCAAATGAGAAGGCTTTTGTCACACAAGCTCTCAAGGACAACTTGAGACTTGATGGCCGGGAATTCGACCAATACCGAAAAGTTCAACTCACTTTTGGCGATGAGTATGGAGTGGCCAACGTAGAGTTGGGTAAGACGAGGTAAGAAAAAAATCATGTCATACTCATTTAACAATATAGGCAACCTTACTAATTTACCTCATAGAGTTCTCGTCAAAGTCTCAGCTGAAGTCACAGTCCCGTACTCGGATCGTCCCTTTGAGGGCATTTTCCAAATCTCTACTGAGCTGAGCCCCATGGCATCACCCGCCTTCGAGGTCAATCGCCCAACCGAGGTTGAGGTCTTGCTCTCCCGTCTCCTAGAGAAGACGATCCGCCGCTCAGGCGCCCTCGACACCGAGTCACTGTGTCTTGTCGCCGGCCAAAAGGTCTGGTCCGTCCGCGCCGACGTCCACGTCCTTTCCCACGATGGCAACATTGTCGACGCGGCCTGCGTTGCCGTCGTTGCCGCTCTCCGCCACTTTCGCAAGCCCGATACTAGCAACGAGGGCGAGTCGCTCACCATCTTCACGCCAGCCGAGCGCGAGCCGGTGCCCCTGAGTTGGCTCCACAGCCCCTTCTGCGTAACCTTCAGCTATTACGGTGACGAGGGTGAGATCACACTTGTTGACGCCAACTGGCTTGAGGAACAGCTACGGACGAGTAGTATGACGGTCGGCCTGAACAAGCACGGAGAGATTAGCCAGATCTCCAAACTTGGAGGAACCCCAGTGGAGGCGGTGACGTTGCTGCACTGCGGTAATGTGGCGCTACAGAAGGTCAAGGAATTCTCGACGTTGGTAGACGAGAAGCTAGCGGAAGACGCGAAGCGGAGGGACAAGGGTGGCCTCATATCAGAGCTTTTGTCTGCGGAGAACGACAGAGTAGTAGATGCATAAATTGTCATAGCCGACAAAAAAATTGTAAAATGATACCCAGCCATATACGCTCCGCCCAACATCATACTCACAGTGAAGATCCTCTTCCTGGGGGTACTCTTCCTCCTCTTGGGGGTTCCAACTCCATCAACGCCGTTCTAATGACCCTCTGCATGAAAAATAATCCCTTGTAAACCCAATCCCCCGTGCGACCGCAGTTACCGCATCACCGGTGGCCTTGACTCCTTATTCCACTTCACACGCGACCTTACCCACTCCACCGCCTCCTTCACGCCGGTACCCGTGAGGGCACTCACGGGTAACACTCTCGAGTCGCGGATACTGCTCGCCTTATCACCCTCAAACACCTTCTTCACCAGTCCCTCCTTGATCCTCACTACCTCGACGCAGTCCTCGCGATCCTGTTTATTGGCTAGCACCAGAACGGGCACGCCTTCCGTCTCGGAATGCTGTAGCACATCCTCTAGCACCAAGCGGCACTCCTCCAGGCGATCTGAGTTATCGTGCTCGAGGTTACCGTCGCCGATATCTGTCGAGTCAATGATGAAGACAATGGCATGCGCCGAGGCGTAATAGCTCTGCCACAATCGACGCAGGGAGTGCTGCCCGCCCACGTCCCAGATCTTCAGGTACATGTCCGGCAGCGTGATGGTCGAAACATTCTGGCCGACGGTCGGCACCGTCTTGAGCTTCGGGTCTGGGTGCGACGGCAGGAAAATAGACTTGACCTGCTCGTGGAAGGTCGTCTTACCAGCGTTGTCGAGGCCGAGGAGGATGACAGAGTATTCTGCGCAAAGGAAGGGAGCGGGTTAGCGGAGGCGGGGAACATATCTGGCATGTTTCATATGCGCGAACCTTCTTTGCTGGTGGCCAAGAGGTATAGACCCTTTGCGAGGTGATACATGACGGGCAACGGTCGCTTGCGAACAAGCTGGTCGCGGTAGTGGGGGAGTGCGACGGTTTTGGACGTTATCAGCGTCGGGGGTTTGATGGCGGCGGGATGTGGATGATTTGAGGTGAATGGAGCTTGACAGGAGCTGATGCTGGAGCTTGGTGCTGCCTTCCGGCACTGACACGCTGGCCGTAGCGTCGGTGGTGGGGGGCCCTGCAGGGGTTTCAGGGGACTTTCAGTTGGCGGCTCTTCAGCCCTATGCTGCTGTCACGCGTGAGAACCCGGAGAGTCGTCTGATTGTCGACGTCCATTGCACGGAGCTGCAATTCTTAACTTTTAGTATTGATATACATAATTTCCAGATGTAGCAATGTCAGGAATCCTCCTTTTTATCCCTGACGTTCTACATCACTGAAAAGGTCAATGTTAAACCGACAATTTGAGTTGCAGCAAAATTCCTTAATTTCAGGCAAGTGTACAGCCCGTCCAACGTTCACAGGAGGCTTACTGATGCTGTTTGCTATAATAAGCATGACTTAGTGGTCATAACGTATGAGTTCTGGGCATTTATATTCTTCCGCTTCTATCACTCATGTCTATCCATACTCCTGCCCCAGTTACTCCAGACCCTGCACATCACATCTTAGGGATCGTGGTCGCGTAACCCTCAACCACAGCAGTCATTAGACGGTTTGCAATCGCAGTAGGAGGAGGCAACCTGAGGCCACCCTCCTTGTAACCCTCAGGGGCTGACTCTCCAAGCCCGCTTGTGCCGTTCTTCAGTGCGTCCCGGACAACATCAAAGGGGAACCACTGGGCGTCCTCCAGCTCAGGGTCGTTTCCGAGATCAATGGTCTCTCCGTCAGGGAGGGCCTGAGCAATGGCACCGATCATCAAGCTTGCAGGGTACGGCCAAGGTTGGCTCGAGTGGATAACGACTCTGCCAACTCTAACGCCGCTCTCCTCCAAAACCTCACGGCGGACTGACTCCTCGATGGACTCACCGGGCTCAATGAAGCCCGCGAGAGTGCTGTACCAGTGAGGAGGCCATCTCTTCTGACGACCCAGAAGCACCTTCTGGCCATCGGCGGAGATCACAGCAGCGATCATAGTAGGGTCTGTCCTGGGGAAGCTAATGTTGGAAACACCGCCACGAGTGTGGCACTCGGGTCTGTCACGGGGAGTTTCAGATCCAGCAAGATCGGTGGAAGGGCAAAGCCTCTTGTAGCCGGTGTTACCGGACAACGTGGGCTGTCCGCAGCCAGCGCAGAACTTGTTACGGTAGTTCCAGTCGGCAAGCGACCGGGCCTGGGCATAAATACCAGCTATGAATGATCATCAGTATGCGGCCATCACAAGATATCACATGACAACTTACCAGCGTCAGGCTCGAGGGTAATATGCCTGGTGCCTTGAAGGAAGTTGTTGCCCTTCTTCGCCTGGGCCTCGATGAGTTCGTTGGCAGCGTCGGCATATGAGCCCTTAGGAGTCACATCAATAGCGAACCAAGGCCGGCCCTGAAGGCCCTTGTACTGGAAGGGCACTTTGGCGCCCTCTTCAAGACCGAGGAAGATGATGAGAGGTCGAGTGACACTCGAGTCATAGTTCTTGATGAGATCCTCCTCAGACGGCCCGAACGGATCCTCCGAGGTCAAGGGCTTGATGTCATCAAAAGACACAAACGACAGCTTTGAGGGCGCACTGGTTAAGGGGCTGAGGTCCTTGAGGAGCATGAAGTTGGTCTCTTTTGCCTGAAATGCCGCTCTGATGAACGTGTGGTCGGTACGCAGCCATCCAACGCGGTTGAGAGCGCTGCCGGCGAAGTAATTGACGGTCTCCCGTCCAAATTTACGGGACAGCATTGAGTCGGGATGGTCGACGGGGGCGGGGAGATTGGGGACTTGAGAACCCATACCGAGACTCTTTTGGCAGCGGTGAAGCTATCGCGGAATTACCGGGTAGAAGACGTTTCAAGGGATCGGCACCTGTGCCAAAAATACAATGAGAGATTACAGTTATCGCGACAACCGACGTCAAACTTTTTTGAACAAGGAACGTGTCGAGACAAATATCTTTTGGGTTGGCCCAAAATGCGTAATATTGACAAGATGTGTAGTGGTGGCGGGCTGGCCCGCTGATTAATCAGTTTGAGGAGCGACACAGATGGGGGGGGGCCCAAAGCGATAGATGGATGGAGCCGTCACTGTGAATCACGAGTCGCCGCTGAGCTCCGATAAATGGAGCTTCCGGAGATCCCCTGTTAGAGCAGCCGTGCGGGATGAGAGACACTGGGTTGCGGGCCGAACACTACCCGGAGTTGTTGCGGCATTCGGGTTGAGGTTGCATGCCCGCCCGCCTTCCAAATAGCTGTCAACACTTCGTGATTGGACTTTAATATTGCGAGCCGATTTCAGAGAGAGTCTTCATCTAAGTAGGCGACATTGCAATAGCACTTGCGACAGCTCAGATTTCAAGTGAGATGAGGTGCTTAAGCTTAACTCCACTCCGACTTGGCCCCCCCCCCCCCCCCCGAAATCGCGCCCAGAAATTTGGTAACGGGATGCTGCCGAGGCAAATAGGTTGGCATAAAACTTCAAGGCTCTTAGTCATCTCCCCCACTACCCATTGAAGATCCAGCTGGAAGTACCACTGTGTAGGTGAGCTAGAAGCACTATTCCTTGCACAAGAGCACCTGAAAAATGTGGATGTTTCAGCACATCTTAGCGCACTTTCCCCCGCATTTTGGCGACCCTTTTCCGGCGAGAGCGGTGACGTCGTGGAATTTTCGCTAAAGGGCACCTTGCGAAATACTTGCGCGCACGTGGACGCAGATGGCGTGAGCCTAGGCGGAAGCGGAAGTGGAAGTGGACAAAGTCTGCCAAAAATACCTGTCGAGCTTTTCGACTCATTTGCGCATTTGTCCTGTCCATGGAAAAAAAAAGTTCTTCTCATCCAACATCGTCGGATTTTTTGGGAAGACTCCTTTTTTATACTCATTCCCGCTCATAAACAGGAGGCGATAATTGTTTGTAATTAAATTGGTTGTGTATTAAACCGCTTCTTCTTCTTCTTCCTTTTTTTTTGTTTTGTTTCCGGGACGTCTTCTCCTTTGTTAGTCACATTGTTGCATCTTCTCGGGTCAACTCTTGCATCATGGCCCCCCCTACTGAACCTCTAAACCTCGACGTCGAGGCTATATCTGGCATTTGCGGGTAATGACACATATTTCCCTCGCTTCTTTTTTACATTACTGACTTAATTGTGTACAGTTCCATCTCAATTGCTTGCTGGGTCGTCGTCTTCTCCCCACAGATCCTCGAGAATTTCCGTCGCGGCAGCGCCGATGGCCTGTCGCTACAGTTCATCATTGTTTGGCTGGCTGGCGATGTCTTCAACATCCTAGGCGCCGTCCTCCAGGGCGTTCTTCCGACCATGGTACGTTACAATTCATGGAAACTTCACTTGACAAAAGGTGCATCAAGGACCCTAGCTAATGACGTGACCCCTTCGCAGATCATTCTTGCAATCTATTACACCATTGCCGACATGGTCCTTCTCGCGCAATGTTTCTATTATCGAGGATTCACCTGGAAAGACGAGGTAGTGCCACCAACCCCGAAGCCGCGCAACCGTACCGGCGAACCAAATGAGCGGACAGGCCTCTTGCCCTCCTCGGCGATCGAGCGCCAGCGTCGAGACTCGGATTGGTCCAATCTCTCCCCCGCCGTGCCCATGCGCCCCGAATCCGCGCCCGCTCCCCCGCCGAGGCCCTCGACCGTCCTGCAAGCAATCGCCTGGAACACGACCGCCGTCTTGATGGTTTGCGCCGCCGGTGTACTCGGCTGGTTCCTCAGCCGCAAGTACTCCCACCCCGATGGGACCGACCACGACAGCAGCGACAATGATGCACTCTCCTTCAACACGCTTGGCCAGGTCTTTGGTTGGCTGTGTGCAGTATTCTACCTCGGCTCTCGTCTGCCGCAGCTCCTGCTCAACTACCGCCGCAAGTCCACCGAAGGCGTCAGCATGCTCTTCTTCCTGTTTGCTTGCCTCGGCAACTTGACCTATGTGCTCAGCATTTTTGCATTTGACCCCCGCTGTGAGGACAAGGTGTGCCGCCCTGGCGAGGCAAGCGCCATTTACGGTCGCTACATCCTGGTCAACTTGAGTTGGTTGGCCGGTAGCTTGGGCACCCTTCTGCTCGACATGGGCATCTTTGCTCAGTACTTCATGTACCGCAACGATGACTACGCGACTGACATTGAAGAGGAGGATGACGAGAGCATCGATGAGGACCGTTGGGACCAGCGACCGCTCCTGGCTCGCGGTGACTCAACCTACGCATAGAGGGCAGGTTGTCTAAGTGTCGTTGCATTCGTTTCAGGTACAGCATACATGGAAGTAATTCTGGCGCATCTTCATTTACACGGAAACAAAAAAAGAGGGAAGGGGGTCGTCAGTTTCAAAAGTTATGTATTGCATCACGGGAGTTTTGATATTTGGATGGCATTTCACATCTTCAATTAAACAAAATAAAAAAGGAGGCGGGTCCAAGAGGTAGATCATATGACATAGATCATTTGATACCTATAAACAAGAGAGAATATTTTCAGTTTCCAATTACTTTTCTCCCACCATTCTGAGCGATTGAACCAATCAAATGTGCCATACCCCTTACATCCACCCAATTCTCTTCCAGACAAAAGTAGCGCCTCCCATGAGGGCAGTCACTCCCGTAAAGACAATCAACGTTCCATAACCACTGCCATATCCATGCGCCGCCTCGCCTCTCCACGGGAAGCCCTTGATCAGAGCTTCGCTCAAAGGCCCAGAGATGACGTTGCCAACACCGCGTCCGGCGGCCAACATACCGAAAACCATGCTCGGGTCAACACCGCGCTCCTTCTCACGTTCGTATTCCGTGACCTGCTTCATAATACCGGGCCAGGCCGAAGTGTAGGCGCCGGCGAACAGTCCGTAGATGACGCAAAAGAGGTACAAGACGCCCAGGCTCGACGAGAAGCCCCAGATAAGAAAGGTCCCCAGGGTGGCGCCCACACTGGCGAGCATCAGGCACGACGGCGCCGAGAAGCGGTCGACCAGGTACCCCATGGCGATGCACCCGAACACGGAGGCGACGTTGACGAGCATGATGGTCAGCGCCGACGGGAAAGCCGAGGCGTTGAGCGTGCTCTGGGCGTACAAGGGCAGGTAAATGCCCGGGAGAAAGAAACCCAACGCCTCGACTATATTGGCGATTTGATGCAGCGCGAAGGGCCTGCCGAGGACGAAACGTAGGTTGTTGAACGGCCGGGAGTACACCGGCGAGGCCGTCATCTGGGAGATGGGCAGACGCGGCTTAATGAAGAAGGCAAGGGGCGCGGTAAGAGCGAAGAGCAATCCCGACCAGAGGCGGAGCGCCATGCGGAAACCCATCGTCCCGAGGAGGTATTCCATCAGGAGAGGAATGAGAACGCCGGCGAGACCGGTGCCGGACCACATGACGCCGTAGGCGAGGCCCTTACGACGGATGAACCACTGATCCATGTAGAGGATGCAAGGGCAATAGGCGATGGCGCCGCCGATGGCGTAGAAGATGCCCTGGGTCACGATGAGGTGGGGGACGGTCTGAGAAAATGAAGACATGGCGAGAGCGATGCACATTATCAGCAGGCCGAAGATGGGGGAGAAGCGGCCTTGGCGGGGGAAGAGGCGGAGGAGGCCGATTACGATGGGGCCCGAGAGATACATTATTCCCTGGGAGGAGTCAGATACTTCCGGGTTCAATTACAGACACATGTCTTGTCTCAAGTTTTTTTTTTTTTTTATGGGAAATCGTATATCTTACCATGGCGCAAGTACCGATGACGGCAATGTTGGCCTGTCCAGCAAAGGGGGGGTTTGTAGAGTAATAGTTCTGGAAGACACCAAAGGCAAAGGGAAAGCCCCAGACGAGCATCTCGATGAAGAAACAGGCAGCTAGGAAGAGCCACGCCTGTTTCCCGCCGTCGACGGGCGGGAGAGAAGAGAACTCATGGCTGAAGCGAGTGGTGTCGTCGGCATTGTCGTCGGCGCCGGAGCCAGACACGGGGGTCTCTGCGGCGTACGGGTCCTGATGGGGTGGGGTCTTGGCCGGAAGAGGGGCTGCTGGGGCCGGGGCGGGGCCCAACCCAGTGTAGGGGGGCAATTGCTGCAGCTCGGTTGCTGTGGAAGACGTGGCCAGGTAGCTGACAGGATTGAGGGAATCGAGATGCCGGCTCAATTGTCCTATGATGTCTGGGGATGTCGGAGATGGTGAAGTGTTCCTGCAACATTGATCGGAAACTTGCCCGGAGACATGTTAGCTTTAAAAGTCTGAGGGGGTTGAAGGTGTAGCGGGGTGTTGGTCGTAGGGGCGTACCCACACTGCGCCCTCCGGTTGATGGCTGCCGGTTCTTTGACTGGGGTGGTTACATCTTGGCCAGTAGAGGGCGCACGCTAATCTACATCGAAACCAGGGGTTCTTTCAATGTCGGCGCCACTAGTGGAAGGATTGAAAGACCTAATTCCGGCGTGTGAAATTTTCTCCTTTCATGGATTATGTCGTCTTCGGTTTCTGGTTCGATAGAAAAGATCACCGTCGATAAACAGCAGTCTGTCAGTCGCTACATTGGAACGAATGGAAGGTTTCGGCATGAGCAATTGACGCCTTTTCCAAGATTTGGGTTACCGATGCTGCTTGCAATTTCTTGTGCCAGTGGTGACATTGCTCGTGGATAACTTCTGTTATCAGTGTTAATGGTTTCCATGTTTGGCTGCTGACCAATGTAAAGAGGTTATGCGTAGTTTCCTCCTGGTTACCGTTGACAGGCATTGAGAAAGTTCTGCGTACCTACGAGGGCAGAGCAGAAGCAAACGGCCCACTAAGATGATTGACAATGCGAGAGTAACGACGGCTTCGGGTTGGTTCATGGCCGGTGCGTCCCGCATCTTGGATCGGCAGGCGTGCGACCCACCAGGTCCGGTGCCGGCCGGTTGGGTCATGCGGGGCTATGTAGGCCTGCAGGCTCCGCCACGAGCTTCTTGCTCTGTGTGTTGATGATGCCGACGAGTGAGAGCTTGCCAAGGCTATCTGGGTTTGTGGCAGTCGAATGCATTAGTAATTTTATCACGCTGGTGTGTGATGTTATCTATTCGAGTGATCTCTTCACTCGAAGCTTGTCCTTGCCCAGCGCTCGAATACTGGTCAACTTCAGCGTGATGGGAAACAATAATCCCCCTGCCGAGATTCCATCCTTTCAAACATTGAGGGCAATATTCTACTGTTTTGCTTTGCGGTTCTACGAGAGATCAGTGCGCTTGACGTGAGGCTAGTGCATAAGCTCGCGACATGACATTTTCGTCCCCGTACGTCAAGGCTCCCACTAACAAGCTCTTTACGCAGGTAATGTTAATCTCAATCAAAATGGCACATGACTAAAATGAAAAAAAAGATGAATCACAGCCCGACATATCGTACGGGAAAACATCACCATTGCTCTCTGACTCCAAACCTCTCGGGCCCCGTCCTCGGCGTACTGGATCCTGCATCTGAAGTCTCTCGTTTCGAGTTGGATCATAGACCACCCTCAACCCCCCCGACAAACGCCCCTAAAAAAATCCCAAACACCTCGCTTCCGACCCAAGCAACAGGATGTCTGTCTTGAATCGCCCATCGCTGAAGAACGTCTTGGGCTTGGCTAACTAACCCTGCATCCCCGTACTCGGCAATACCACGTCAGATCGCTCATCTGGGTAGGGTTTTGCAAGGGGAGATTGTCTCGGTTTCGGGCCAAAGGTTACTACTAGTGAGGAGGTCGACGACAGACCCCATTTATTTGCGATGGTTAATTAATATAAAATCCCCGGGCCGTCCAGGATCGCCTTTGAATAGTATTATAGGTCACCGAACAATTTAGACTCTTTCTAACAATACAAAACTCCGGGGGGTTACGTGGTAGCATGTTGATGATCATAAACTAGTCAGCCTCAAAATAGTTCAGTAGTCGCATCTTAATTCCCAACGTGCTCGTCTCATCTTTACTCCCTGCTGTCTCTTCCCTACTTAGGACGCCTGTTGGGGGAAAAAATTCACACTGCAGAGACCGAATACGCTCTTCATCCCAAGGGTAAGGGTGATGTCAAGGCAAATCTAGGTTTCCTTTCCGGTGCAACCTTTCTGACCTCACCCGTTTGTCAGACCGACGCATACCACATTTGGCATCACCCCTCGCTGGAGGTCATCCCCCCCCTTCTTTCCCCCACCATCCAAGGATCCCCCAACTTTGACACCTGTAGCCACACCACGAGGTCAGGCGAAGAGCATTGTCTCGCGCCGTCTCGCAGGAAGGGATATCCCAAGCTCGCATCACGCTACCTACCGCTTCACCTTGGACCACCAAGAACCAAAAAAGAGAAGAAAAAAAAATACTAGGTGAAGGACAGACATCGGTCAGCGCCCAAGCGCCAACGGTTCCCAGACACACCGAACTAACCACCCGACGTGCCGCCTGATCCAGGACCTCGTCCATCCTTGCAGATTTCCTATGATTTCCGCGTATGGCATACGACGGCTGTCGTATCATGCCGTGCATCTAATTCCTGGACCGGCCGTTCGGCTCAGTTTAAGGCCCACAGTCATCAGATTGATCCGTGTCTCTGCACCTGAGCGTCAGGTTGGACCGTTTACTGTTTTTTTTTTTTTTTTTTTCCCTTTCTCTGCCCCCCTGTCTCTCTCTACTAGTACTCTCTTTGATCAGTCTGTCGTCCATCATGCAGACGGGGGGTAGACCCCCGGACCCACGCGGTCCACGATTCTCAAACCCTCTTATTGTTCTACGGACGTTTTTCGAATCTTTTGTTCATTATTTAAAAAGGGTTTCCCGCACCTCCGCGCGGCCTGAGCTGCTCTATCTGACGTTTTCCCCAAATTTTTCTTCTTCCAGCCATCGTGTCTGAATTTGTCCTGCATTCTTGACGTCTCGATCATCACCCTCGTTTATAGAAGCCTTCCAGCTTCAATCATCCAAGTTGGTTCGGACATTACACCAATAACACAAAACTCCTCGGTCAACGACTTGGTATAAGAGCAAATCAGATCTCGGTCCTCCCAATAATACCTAATCGCTCCGAGAAAGAAAGAAAAAAAAGCAAAATGCCGGACCAGGTCGAGTACAGACAAATGCCGAGGGAGCCCGCGCCCGCCGTGGTCATTGAACCCAGAATCAGCTCCGAACAACCCGTGAGTACCCACTGATTCCACCCACTCCTCCTCCCTCCAGTTACACTCTGTGATCTTCAGTGATGATTTCGAGCCCAAAACGACACCCATTCTCGGGGCCATAAAACATGAGCTAACTCAAGAACTATCCAGCGTCTGGCTGAACCCATGGCCGTAGAACAACAACCAATGTCCATCCGAGGAGGCAAAGGCGATGGCGGAGTAAGCGAAACCTCTTCCCTTCATCCAACAACCTAAACCGCCCCCCCCCCAAACCCTTCTTCTCCATGAGTTCTCTTCCATCACCTTCCACTCCCGCCCAAAAACTTCCGCACGTCTTGTAAAAACTTTTGTCGTCTTTGCAAATCACAATCGACGTCCTCAAGTCGTGTGGAAGCGGGGAAGGCTGATGCTAGAGACTCACCGTTACCCAAGAACGACAGCTAACAGACTACTCTTACGTCCTAAAGGCCATCTGCTGCGGCATCTGCGCCGGCCTTTGCTGTTTCGAGTGCCTCGACTGCTGCTGCTGCTGTTGCTAGCGGGTCCGTCCGTCTTTGCGTAGTGACATTGGCAGCTCTTTTTCTCACACACACACACACACACTACCGGAGGGATTTTTTTTTTCTGTATCTGCAATGACGGGAGGCTTGCCCTGCTATTTGATTTCGGTTAGATCGTTGTGCGATTCGGCGTCGACGAACACGAAGCGACTGCTGCCCGTACCTGCGCAAGCGGCGGGCGACTTGATGAAGATTTCATGACTTTTACTGACGGAAGGAAGATGGAGGATGAGGACGCATTTAGATATATACCTAGGTGGCCATGTTTCGTGCCTGAGGGCACACATCATGTATCAAATCTGTACAAGAGCCTTTTCATTTTAAACAATTGGATTGGGTATTTCAAGCTATCTCACGTCGCCTTCGTGGCGTCGCTCAGCCGATACGGTCGTATCTAGACAACTACCTTCTACTTTTTACTCAAACCTCGACGCTAGAGGTGGTGGTAGTACACGGCGTCTATTCTGTCATGCGCATGTTTTGACTCCAGATCATAGATTCGTCATCCACGTCAGTTGCGTCTGAAGTCTATCTTTGCAACCTTTCAAGTCGTTTTCTCTTACACTCTGTAAGCACTTTACAGCTTGGAGCGAACCTCGTCGGGCCTAATTACGTTTGTTAGTCATCTGTCCAAGCTTTTACCAGGTATTATAGATCAACTCACTTCGCAAGCTTCTCAGTCGCCTTCATGATGGCACCACCAAGCTCAGTGTTGACCTTGGAGAACATCTCGTACGTGCGCGAGCGAACCTCGGGGTGGGCACCGGCAAGAGCGCCGGCAACGTTGTTGATGAAGTTCTTCTGCTGGCCCTCCTGGCGGCCGAGAACCTTCCACAGACCGTTGGCCTGCTCGTAGTCCTGCGCGGTAACGGGACCGAACAGGTCCTCGACAACCTTGCCAGACCACTGCTCGTGAGCGCTGGCAGCCTTGACCGGCTTGTAAGTCAGGGGGCGGAAAGTAGAGGGGTAGTTCTAATTTCATGTCAGCATACTGCAGGGTTTTCAACCGCCATGAGAGCGTGAAAACTTACGGGGTTGGCGCCGTAGTTTCCGTCAACGGACATAGCACCGTCTCTCTGGAAGGGGTTGAATGCGTTCAGCGGCTTGTTGACGGGGATCTGCTGATAGTTGACACCCAGGCGGTGGCGGTGGGTATCGGGGTAAGAGAAGAGGCGAGACTGCAGAACGGGGTCGGCGGAGGGCTCGACACCGGGGACCAGGTGAGAGGGCGAAAAAGCGACCTGCTCAATCTCGGCGAAGTAGTTTTCGGGGTTCTTGTTGAGAGTGAGCTTGCCGAAGGGCCGGAGAGGCACCTCGCTCTGAGGCCAGACCTTGGTGAGGTCGAAGACATTCCACTTGAACTTCTCAGCCTGCTCGGGGGTGAGAGTCTGAACGTAAACGGTCCAGCTGGGGTATTCGCCCTTCTGGATAGACTCAAAGAGGTCCTGAGTGTGCCAGTCGGGGTTCTCAGAGGCCAGCTTGCCAGCCTCCTCGTTTGTGAAAGTCTTGTTGCCCTGATCCGTCTTCAGGTGAATCTGGACGTAGACGAAAGAGCCGTCGGGCTTAGTCCACTTGTGAGTGTGGCCAGAGTAACCGTTCATGTGGCGGTAAGAGTAGGGAGTGCCGCGGTCAGAGAACAGGTGCATCAGCTGGTGGATGCATTCCTGGTGGCTGGACCAGTAGTCCCACTGGAAATCGGGGTCAGTAAACGCTTGTCAGTGCTGGAATTGGTTTACGAACCATCTGGATCAGTCAGTTAGCGATATTACAATGTGAGAGCTGGGGTTGAGACATACCATTGTGGCGTCCTTAAGGTTGGTCTGGGGGTGGCGCTTCTGGGTGTGAATGAAGACCTAACATAAAACCAGTTAGAAAACGGTTTACAGTAGTCACTTCAGAACTGTATTTACCGGGAAAAGACTGGGGTCGCGAATGAAGAAAATGGGCGTGTTGTTGTAGACCCAGTCCCAGTTGCCCTCTTCGGTGTAGAACTTGATGGCAAAACCTCTGGGGTCACGGGCAGAATCGGCGGATCCCTTCTCACCACCGACAGTCGAGAAACGGACAACGGCCTTAGTCTTCTTACCGACTCCATTGAGCATGTCAATGGAGGTGATGTCGCTGATGTCGTGGGTGACCTCGAACTGTGGTCACATGGTGTCAGTGTCTCAAATGAGAAATTACGCGCTTCTCGGACATACCTCGCCATAGGAACCGGCACCCTTGGCGTGGACAACACGCTCGGGGATACGCTCGCGGTCGAAGTGAGCGAGCAGGTCGATCAGGTGGAAGTCTTGAAGCAGGAGAGGTCCATGGGGACCGGGGCGCTGCCAGTGCTGAGCGTTACTGACGGGAGCGCCATTGGAAGTGGTGTAAGTGGGCTTCTCGTTGTAGCGGTAGGTGGAAGGGGGCTTCTCGTCGGATCCCATTGTGGCGGCGGTCTCTCAAACCGAAGAGACTTCTGAGTATTCGGATATGGGAGGATGAAAGTGGGAAGGGTTACACTGCTAGAGTGTTGCTTGGGTACTCGAGTACAAGTTGGAGATTAAGAAACGGAAGCGGCAATTGGCAATTCAGATCGAAAAAAGGTCAGAAAGGATCTCCAAGGGTCCAATGGAGAGGGAGGAGAAACATAAATACCCCAAAGCTGCTGCAGCGTAAAGAAAAAGATGTCCCCCGGGCAATCATCAAGCTACGATGGGCCTCGGCCCCTCCCCTCCTGCCCCAGTTCTCACTCTCCATTCTTTTCGGGTTTTGGGACCTTCTCCCACTCAGAACAGTCAAGTTACGAAGCAAAAGCTAGGGCACGACATGCGTCAACCAACAGGGATGCCATTAGATTTGAGAAGGTCCGGCACGCCACAACCAATGGAATGGCATATAAATGCAAGCTGGGGAGTGTTGAGGTCCACTGGAAGCTCCAGTTGAGATTTCCTAGCGCCCTTCGCCCCCTTGTAGCTCCACCCCTGCTTCTATGAGTAGTGTGTGCAACTGATTCAGCAGCCAGACGGCGCTGGTGGTAAGAGGCTTCCTGTCTTTGTTTTCTTCTGGTGGCGGGAAACATTCTCGGGTCACTTCCGTCAAGGCTTACCTTATTTTATTTTTCCTCTTTTACCTGAATAGGTGTACTGATCACGATCAAAAAGGAGAAGAAAAACTTGGACTATGATCCCAAATCTGTAGAAGACTCGTCAGGTATTCTGGCCAGGGTCATCATCCATATTTGTTCATCGGGCAAGGCCTGCTGCACTCATCCTCGGCTCTTCCTCTGGCCCCTCCGACAACGGCAAGGTTCCACAGCCACCTCTGCCAAGTTACTTCATGTCGGGTACATGTATTGCTGGCCTCCCCAGATGTTGCGGGGGAGATTTTCATAGCTTGCCTCAGAAGCGTCGACGTTGGGTTGGAGAGGCTCCCGTCTTCATTGATGCGGAGAAAACTCGCTGAAAGGGACAACAGTCAACATGGGTATGCCGGTACGGCATGCCGCCCTTGGAAAATGACCTAGTTCCTACGGACACATCAGGCCACTCATATGCAACTCGACGGCTAAGCTAGCTCTGTATCTGTACAAAATTCCCGGCGAGACGTCTGAAGCGGATAACATGTTGCAAGTCAGACAGCATGCCGATCGGCTTTGCGTTATGAGGGGGGAGGAGCTTGTAACCTTCGAGACTGCAGCTGACATCCAGACCCCGTCGGCGTTTGGACGAACTACTGGCATCCCATGGATACACACGAAAACTTTTTTTTTTCAAGATGCCGCATCAAAGACATAAATAAAGGTTGGCTAGACCATCCTTCATACGTTCGGATTCGTCTACGCCGGCCGGAGCCGAGCTAGACAGACAATGAGCCTCCTGCGGTGTATCTTTTCTCAATCAGGCAGGGCGAAAGAGAGCCCATGACATCATTGGCCAGCAAGAGGCAGGCCTTGCCGGAAATGGCCTATCGCGATAGCTTTCCTCATCCCCAGAGTGGAGAAGGGGACGGCAAAAGCTGTGTGAGTCGCCGAGGTCGCGACATGTCAGGAGTGTTTTTTTTATGTGGAAGAGGTCGCGTCCAGTCTCTACTCCGTCCAGTAACCGAACGTGGGAGTGGTTCCGTCTCGCGGTCTCACATGATCGGTTTTCGGTTGCCATTCCGTTGCGCCCGGTTGACTTTCCGACCCCCCTACTGGCTCTGGCTTCACTTGACCGCCCGACAGCAGTACTCCCTCGGCGATATCCCGGAGGTCACCGGCATTCCGTACTTTTCTTGGGCTTGCGTTCTTTTACAGCACTTTGAAGGTTTGTGAGCAAGAGTGTCGAATAAACTCAAATGGTGAAATCAATTGCGACGGGATGTATTGTTGTGATGCATGGATAGATAATCTCAGTAGAACCCTGGCTTTCTTGTACTACGTAGATTGCTGTTTTGTTCCGAGGCACTCCACGGCTAACTATCGCGGAGGTAACCACCGGAACCGACCGACCGACAGGCCAACAGCGGAATACTGCCGGAACGCAAAGCAGTAAGCTATGCTGTTCCGAGCGTGCACCCCTGTTGATAGAGGCCGAGCCCTCTAGAACATGCGTGGCCAGGATCAACTTGGAGGCTTTTTAGCGCTATTGCCCTGTTGACTGTCAACTGAAGCCTCGCCCGGGTTTGCTTCGACATGGGCATGGTGTCCAAGCTTCACGTGCCGACAGAACTCTATTTCAACTATGCTCTCTATTCGAACGTCTCGTCGCCATTAAAGCCACTTATATCCTGCTCTAGCAGTCTTGGTCTTGATTCAGCGCTTGCTTGATATAACGGCGACCAAATTTCAGGACTAGGTCCATGACAAGAAGCTCTTCGGAATACCTCCTGCCACTCTTCAGAGGTGGCTTACCAGCTTCTTGGGCATTCTTTGGGACCATTACTTTCTTATTCGGAACGGCAAGAAAACGGTGGTCGGATCGACGCTGTTCCGCAAGCATCGTTTGTATTCTTTTCGGAATCTTATCATCACTAGTAGCAGATAGATCTATCTGTGAGTAACATCGTTAACCGATAATGACTTGAGTTGGAAATGGAATAGCAACTGTTGCCCCATGACACAGTTGCAGCCTTCCGGTGACAGGTGGCTCTGCGTATCATCAATCTACTCCATGCTGGTTCCAGATGATGCCACAACGTAACCATGTTCAGCGAATTCACAGGCAACGTTCCGGAGGCCAGATGTGTGAGTTTGTTCGTCACGTTTAGCAGCAGCAATGAGCAAGGAATTGCGCTAGCTACGTGCACCGCCGGCTTGTCCGCTCCCCTCATTACCAAATATGGCTTTGAGGGGTTGCAAAATACTTCGTTCTATGTTTCATTCTATGTGGTTACGCCTTCGGGAAGGGGGCGCCTGACACCACTTCTCATAGACCTTTCAACCATTGTACACATCGTTTTAGCTCAGATCGACACGAGGACAAGCGCGACAGGCAAACGTGGCAAACTATCCGTGCCGGAAGAGACACGTCGCACCCGTATCCGACCCGGCTTTGAAGTGTGTTGCAATGAACCTGTTGAAGCAAACATAGTGTATCGTGGTCTGTAAGTGACGGAACACGGTGAATCACAAGTCTGCTTCGCTGCCGTGCCGCACAGAGAGCAATGACTCTATAGATCTTAAAATCATTTAAAACTATATGTTGGATTAAAAACTCCTGTACAAACTAATGGTAATGAAGCGTCCACGAAAGACATCTGTAGAAGCAGCCCATTCTTCACAACCCTTTTAACGTCGCCAACATGACTCTCATCATCACTTCTCTCATCGCATTCACAATATTCTCAGCAGCAGCAGCGGCCGGAGACTTCCAAACTCAGCCCCCCCTTGGCGGAATCCAACCCCCGGTAGACGGTGAATGCGCCCCGGGTAGGTTCATCTGCGGATGGGGATGCATAGCTCGGCACCTCCGCTGCTGCTCCAGGTCAGACACGGACGAGTACTGGTCCTGCTCGAGGGATGAGGCGTGTGGAGGAGCCCCAAAATACGGGTGTTTCCTGATCGACGAGCTTGCTCCGTCGCTGCCGCCCCTGACTTTCACATCTGTGCCGACCTCTCTCTCGCGCCCGGGCGGCGAGAGCTTCAACCCGACCTTTACCCTTTCCATCCCCGCCGGTTCCCCGAAAAGCACATCAGGGTCAGTGGACAGGGATGATACGAGCTCTCCCATGGCCCTGACATCTCTCACCTCGATGTCGGGCGCCGTCTTTATGCGTGAGACGTGTTTCTTCGATGCGGCAGCGGCAGCAGTAGCAGCCGAGGAAGGTGGACATGATAAATGGACGCCCGGGGACGTGTGCCCCCCTTCGTTGACGTCGACTATAGAGGTCAGCGGCTCGGATATGGTGGGCAGGGCTGAGTCCCGGATTGCTGCGGCGTTAGTAATGCTTTTGGTCATTGTTCTTGTTGATGGATTACTGTAATCATCAAAGGCACAAGGGCAGTTTGTTTGGCATGCCATGTAGTCGGTTAGTTGTGGGAAATTTGCAAGGTTTTTAAATCACTTCCATTTAACGTATTGCCAGACACTGTCCAACGTTGCTAGGTGTTGTTGGCAAAAAATATGTTATTGAAGCTCGCTAATGTACCCCATTACTGAATCTCAGATGACACCAGCAGTGGCTTACATTGCATTATAATGCACCTATTGGACTAATAGTACACCTGCAATGTCTTATTCGTGTATGCCCACAAGCAACCTCACACCTTGTACGCGAAGGGAATTCTCAACGTCGAATATCAAGGTGGCGGTTAAGGCATCTGACATGTAGATCAGCAATACCAACCGCGCCTCCTCGAGTGCTGGCAACCACAGAATACTTCTTTAGTCACATGTCGAACGATTTTACTACAATCTTGCTTTTCCGTGAGATGCACAGTGGCGACCACCTCTACCTAACCACTTCATCTTGACTGGGTGCTGGCTTACATCGACCGTGCATTGAGGTGGGTGTACTACATAGTATGGCCTAGATAGTTTTAAGACCATCTTGCGAAAGTCGCCAGTGCCGCTTACAAGCTGGACTAATTAGTATACTGGCCCACTGTCATTCAAAACCCTCTGGTAGCGTGGGGGCATGCTCCAGTTCGAAGCCTGGGTTGAGAGTTTTCCCAGCCATATAGAAGCAGAAGCCACGGAAGAACGCCAAACCCAAAGAGCATCTGGTCTATGACAGCGTCGCAAGCCGCATCACTTGCAGAGAAGGAAGGCTGTGTCAGAACAGAACCAGGGGCGCGGTACAACGTCCCCCGTGCTGGAATTAGAAAGACGTATAAACTGATAAAAGACAACGAATAGACTCAAGTTTTATCCTCTCTTCCCCGTTCCAGGCCCTTTGATCGCCTTATGAATTGTATCTGCGCAATACACGTTTGTACGACAGTCCATCCAGAACGCCCATGGTGGCAAGTGAGAATGGCCGTTGACGGAGCCTCCTCCCTTTTACGCCTCGCCTACAACCTCTTAAAACAAGAAGAAACGCTGATACTTTCGAGATCTGTGCGGACGCTCTGGAGTACCCTGCAGCGCAAGTTTCCCGCGAAACCAAGACGTCGATAAACACATTCCAATGCGCAGGTCTACCCAACTGAGGGGTTTTGTATTATAAATCGTGAGGGGCGTTATATATAAAGGATTCGAAGGGCTTGTTATACAGAGTTCAAGGATCGGGAACCGGCTATGACTCTTGGTTGACGGTTTGCTGTGTATAATGTTAGTCTGTGTTCCCTGTTCGACGCCTGAGACAGGCTGGGATGGGGGCAACATACGACAAGCCAGTCCATGCCCTCGGTCACACCACTGCCGTCAACGGCGGAACAGGCCATAATGCTCCAGTTGCGGTCGCGTAGCTCGCCCAGGCGCAGTGCCTCCGAGATCTCACCCGCACCCTTGGCGCCAGGCTGGTCCTGCTTGTTGGCAAATACAAGGAGGGCGGCATCTTTGAGCTCCTCCTCGTTGAGCATGGCGCCCAGCTCCTCGGCGGCGGTCTGCAAACGCTCAATATCGGTTGAGTCGACAACGAAAATGACAGCTGCCGTGTTGGCATAGTAACACCGCCAGTACGGCCGGATACTGGTTTGGCCACCCAAGTCCTATAGCGGATGCGCATGCGCGCCATGTCAGTCTCGTGCCCGCATGCGAATATAACTCGTGGGGAAAGGTTGCTCGCATACCCAGACGTTAAAGTTGAGGTTTTTGTAAGTGACGGATTCGACGTTGAAACCTATCGTCGGGATCGTGGTAACAACCTCGCCAATCTAAGAAAACGAGCCGTTAGTCCCAAGACACTTTCTGCATTTGCGCACCTATGCATGTAGCTGAACGCCAAGCTGTAGAAACTTACCTTCAGTCTGTACAAAAGTGTCGTCTTGCCTGCGTTATCCTACAGTTGCCAACACCGTGGTTTGTCAGCCTTGCATCTCTGCGTGTTTGAGGTTGCTGACGCCATGGGTGCGGCGGCTAGAGCGGTGCATTGCATACCAAACCCAGGATCAATATACGGATCTCCTTCTTCGACCACAAGAGGCCGGACAGCCATGACATGCTTGCGCCCATCTTGAAAGTTCTATTGTTTGGACAAGGTGCCCTTGGTTGTCTCGAGTAAGGAGAGGTGTTTGTGGGTGAATGTGTCGCTGCTACTGAAGACTGTCGCAGGACGAGGTACGCGGTTGGCCTCGGAACGGAGAGGGCAGGTGAGGCTAGGTAGCAAGCAAAAAGGTGGCTTGTTTCCCAAGGGACGACAACCAGCAATGACAGATACCGCCAGACCACAGAGTGGATTATGTACAATAAGAGCAGGATAAAAACGACAACCTGCTGAAAGGACCCTTAGGCACTTGTTCGGTTGCTGAAAGTCGTCGATTCGTCGTTTCGTCGTCTTGTTCAAGCTTGTTGACTTTCTTTGTAACTCGGCCGATGAACAAAGAACCGTTGCAAAAGAATCTTGATGGCCCCTAATGGTACGGAACGGCCCCCCCTAATTGACAGTTTTTAAGACATGCCCTGCATGGATGGGAAATCTGGGCGTTCAAACGGGTCCGCGGGCCTGCCACTTCTGGGATCGTCGGCCGCTCGAGCCTATCGGCATTTCAGGGATTATCACATAAGCAAGCTTACTGTATTACTTGATGCCTGAGGCACCAATCGATATTCCCCTATGACTCGCAAAGTGTCATTGTCTTATCTAATCAGGCGACAGCCGCATTCAGGAAATCTGGGGCGGTGCACCCATGAGGCGAGTGACTCCTGGAAAAGCGTGACCGCCCCCACTGCTTGCCCTCCCCGCCAATCAGGGCAATTGCGGGCTCGCTAACCTAGTACGCCTCGTGCACAAGAATTTCTGATTTTTAGAATCATCAACCCATCGGAGAACACTGCACCCAAAGGACTCGACCAATTTGATCAGCCAACAGCCGTCAAAATGCCGGTACGTGATGACGCCTTTTGGCTCCCTCGACGATGATGATATTGTGTCCGACCGATTTTCTCGAATAAATGCGCCGGCTGCACATGTCGCGCTCCCTGTGCAGCCGGACAAGTTGAGGAGGGGCAATATCATCACGATCGAGAGCCATGAACACATCCGAACCGAAACAGAGCGCTGACCTTTCAACTCTCACAGAGCCACAAGTCTTTCCGCACGAAGCAGAAGCTCGCCAAGGCGCAGAAGCAGAACCGCCCTATCCCCCAATGGATTCGCCTCCGCACTGGTAACACCATTCGGTACGATACACCTCCCGTAGCTAAGTCTGCCTCTGGATCAATACACAATGATCGCGGAGGGCAGACGAGCCAGCACGCACGATATCCGGCAAGCAACCGATTACTGACATACTCTACAGCTACAACGCGAAGAGACGCCACTGGCGCAAGACCCGCCTTGGTATCTAAATACCTCGCACCTTCTCTCGATCCCACCCTACCTGCGTCTCTATCGATGGTACCACCGACCGACGACACTGCGCTCGACTTGGAATTTCTGGGAAGGGGTTTTACGGATTCAAATACCACTGGCACGAATCCGATCGTTGGAGTCTCAGGATGGAGAAATGGGAGGAAAAAACTGGATGCCCGGCTCCGGCTAGACTCTACGTATTGCATGTTACGGTCATAGGGAAAGGAATGCAAAATCATTGATGCCTCTGAATGAAATCAAACGAGGTCTTATGCTTGCTTCTTTTTTCTCACTCGTAGTGATGGCCATCTGGATAAATCGACATTTGGATGTGCTAGCTGTGACTGACAAAAACGGAAGTCGACGCTAATACAGATCCTCGTAAGCAAGATTACAGTTCTCAAAAGAATCCTGATTGATCTGCCCAAATTCTGGATAGGTAGAGCATTGTACCCGTAGTATACATTTACGAAGCCTGGGATACGATAGGAGCAGCCGAGCTTACATTGTCCTGTCGCGCCCACAGCATCAAGGATAATCTTTTTTCATCTTGGTCGCCCACATTTCACTTGTGTTGTTCAACTTTGTTCACTTAAAACGGAGGAACCCTGGCTCGGCAAATGAATAGTGATTGTTGTGCTTTGTAGTATTTGCGCAGCGAACTATGCTGGCAGCACTTTCAGCTACCTTATAGCCATATGCTGACCACCTTAATCACCATGTTGCTGCCCATTCCTGGTAGGACAACCAATTCCTGCCCCATCGAGCAAACCGTGAACTTTCCAGGTAACCATTGAAAAAAAGAGTCAAAGAGGGAGTAGTCGATAAACGCCGGAAACCGATGCATAGCACATTAATAGCGGAGAGAGATATGGGAACGGGACTGCCACCCCGTCTCAGGCTGTCCCGCCAATGGAGTTATCGATCCCTTAACGGTCCTCAGCCCACTCGTTCTCACGGCGGATCTGCTCCTCCTCTTCAGGGGTGAAGTCGTTCGTGATGTTGAAAGTCTTGCGGATCTCCTCGGGAGACTTGCCCTTGATCATGTTGGCGACGGTCTTGCAACCGACGTCAAGGAGAGGCTTGATATCAAGGTAGTTGGAGGCCTAGAGACTGGTCAGTATCGAAACAGTGACGAAAAAAGCACGGAACATACAAGAATGATCTCGAAGAGCATTTCCTGGTCGACCTGCATGAACTTCTGATCCCACTCCTCAATCTCGGTGGTCTTCTTGCGGGCATCGTTCTCCTCATCCTGAGTCTGGGGGGGATCGTTGCGGTGGTGCTCGCACCACTCGATGACCTTGCGGAGGACCGCCTCGTTGACCTGTAATGGGAATGTGAGCCAACTGTTCCTGCCCAGCAGAACCGAGGAGGATTGACGATACGTACGTTGGGGATGGGGATAGGGTTCTCCTGGCTGATGGCGTCATCGCCGACATCCTCAAGCATGTTCTTGATGAGCATAGACCGCTCAGCAACAACACGGTCTGGAACCAACTAGTTAGTACCGCGCGACGTTCGAGGAAGGCGAAAGGCTGTGTTGTTCCTTGAGAGGGTAAGGCGCAACGTACCAACGGGGATGGTAATGCTGTCGTTGGACTGCACCCAGATCTTCTGGTCCTTCTTCTCGGCGGCCATTTTAACTAATGAGCTTTTTGCGATAGTCTTTAAAATGTTAGTGGGAAGTTGGTCGGCAGACACGCGCGATGTAGGTGCGAGTAATGTTGATTGTGAACGAAGGTGAGAGCAGCGATGGTGGGGCGATGGAAAGAAGAGCAAAGTCGATCGAGTGAGGGGTCGCAATGGCAGAGAGCCTGTAACTTGAGACACTTACGAAGAAATACTGTTCAAAGAAGCGAGGTGATCGGAATGATGAACAGGAAAAAGAATCGTAGTTCGTGTGAATTAAAGACTGTCGGGTCTTGTAGTAAGCAGTGATTGAGTGTGGACGGAGATGCCTTTTGAAGGACGTCTGACGTTGGTTGGTTTTGGGCTGAGCAAAGGCGGCTGGTTGTGGAGAAAAGGAAGGGTCGGAGGTAGAGAGGTGCGTGGCTACCTTTGGAATCGTACCTTCCGTTACTATTGCTACTACGAGGGAAAGCGCAGCGTGTGTCGGGTCCCATAGGCTGCAAGAGGTAAAATTATGGGGCCGTCCTTTGGGTGCCTGGAGAAAGACGGAGCGGTAGTCCCTTTGACCACCGCAAACCCTCGCTTTTCAGCCTGCTGAGGCCTCAAAGGCCTCGCCAAAGGCCCGCTACGCCGCAGCTCAAGGCAGGAACTCCTCCAGAGCCAGCAAAAATACCTCCTGTGCCTCTCTTTCTGCTTCAGTCGCTTGTTGGAGCACAGGGGTCACCAGGCAGACACACGCATGGAGCAAATTTCTCCTGTGAGTCAACCTGATTGAAGGTCGTGCTTTCCTTGTTTTACGGGACTGGAATACAGTGACGGCCGGGCGGCTGCCTAAGTCCGCTATTTAGTGCTAATTTCCCTTCTTTGAGTGAATGTGATTTCGCAACCAAATGTTCGAACACAAAGACTCCTCCTTCTATCAGTGGTCTCTCGCTATCTTCATGTCGCCACCTGCATGTCTATACCTGCATTGATTTTGCACCAGCCTATGCTCTAATACAGCAGGTTTCTTACTCCTTCAGCCACTGCAGATCCCAGCCACTGACCTCTGCATCTAAGGTCAAATCTGCTAGTCAGTATCAGCCACATACATCCAGGGTGACATGGTCTGCTTATCGATGTGAAAATCTTCCTCCTGGATTAGTGTTATCCAGTGGGCTCCGAAGGTCTTTAGACAATTGTGGCAAGCCATGATTATTTACTTTACGCTAAGAAGCAACTGAGAGCCGCAGATCTCCTGTTTTGGGAAGTTTCACGCTGCTAAGGGCTGCTTCACATTGGTAACATAACAGGAATCGAGCAACTGACGAAGGAACTAAGTGTCACCAATCACTCTTTTTGAGCAACTGTAAACTCTCTAGACAATCTACCTTGGAAGTGTATTAAGTAGGCCTGGCAGAATATGGAGGAGTCTCAAGTTGTCGGTCACCTTCACAACATAGGTGCATGTAGCCCATTGGTTCTTAGAGAGACGAACTGCCACATTACGACAGAAGTCTTTATCTTTTGCTCAAGAGCAGCACAGATGAGCGTGTATCAGCATTTAAGAACTCCGAGCAGCTTACACCTACTACACACAACTTGATAGCGGCCTCGAGCTTCTGCGTCTCCATAGGAACGGATGGTACTTCGGACATAGGCTATACAGCCGCGGCAATGAATACCAGGAATACAGAAAGGCGGACTCAGGAAGCCAGGAACAACAACAGGTTGGGTGTTGGACCCGCCGGTTGAGTCCAAACTCTGATGGGGAAGCACCGCCTCCACCACAGAAGAAGTTCGTGTCTGAGACGCGAGGTTCGAGAGAGTGGCCATGTCTGTCGCACACTTCCTTTTTGATCATGGCTTATGGCAACACCCAATTATCTCGGTCTCGAGCGTTGAGGTTGGCGGTGAGGCTTGCAGTCACTACCCAAGCGCAGGGAGCATTCTTGCGGCACAGCGAAGCGTGGTCAACTTACAAGATCACGACAATGGTACAGCAACATGTGAGTATTGAACGGAAATATGGGGAGGAAGGGCGAATGAGACAAGCAACGGGTGTAGATAAAAGCGAGCTGCAGGCACTTAAAGAAGCCTGTCAACTCCACGGGTTGGTCTCCACGACGCGGGGAGGGGAGCTGATGTCCCTGCAATGTGCGTTCCGATTGTGCCAGACATCAATGTGGCGGCACATTACACATGTAGTCATTCAGCTCTAACATACTGGAGCGAATCCTGACTAGAATTACTAGAAAAAGCCAGCCGTTCTGTTACTTCACGCCAGTGAATGTGGGCGGCGCGTCTGCCGTCTGTGGAATTTGTACGGTGTCCCACTGCCGTAGAGAATAGCAAGGGCGAGAGACGGTAGGACAGGGTATGCATAGAGTACTTGGTATTATTGCGTTCGTCTGATATCAGACTCCATGGGACGAATAAATAAACAAGGCTGGTCTGATCTGAGATGCTTGTTACTCGACAGACGGACGAATACGATGCGAACAATGAGAGGAGGAAAAAAAAACAAAACGCAGTGACGCATAATGACAACAAGACAAAGAGATGGCTATCGTTCGAGAAACCTGCTGACTTGCTTGGGCTTATTTGGTTGGCCCTGTAATCAGATGGGGAGGGGGTCCCCAGACGTTGGGAGAGGAGGGAGAGCAATGAGGACGATTGGACTGGAACACTGGAGAAGACTTTGGTGCCACAAAACGAGCCACTGTCATTCAGCATCACAGCTGTTCGCTGGTGGTCTTCTACCTCGACACTTTCGGGACTAGCGCCCTTGAATGGAGGGCCTAGCGAGCAGGCATTAGCAAGGTTCTGCATTGTTACAGGGGCCGTTGCAGCGGGCTCTAAGTAGGGCACACCTGCAAAGTCTCAGTCTTGCCAGCAACCACGGTCGCGTCACGCTGCACCGTGGGACAAGACAGCTGGGCTCGCGACCCCTGTGCCGTGGAATAAGCATTTTACCAAGCAGCCAACTACCAGCCTGGACACATTACACATGTTGAGGCCGTCCTGGTTAAAATGACAATCCACGACCTCGACACCCACCCGCACTGGACCTCACCAGACCTCCCCTTCCAGCTAGCTCCTTAGTGAAGCACCACCCAACGGCAAGAGCAAGGGCCATGTGCCTACTAGTGCCATCAGAGATTGCGGATACCTTGCAATAAGAACAAAATCACATCCTGGCGGGGACCACCTATCAGTCATTCCCGTCCCGTCCGAACCTTGCTCCTTGCTCTGAGGAGTACCCTCCGTGCAGCCTGGACTGAGAGCTGGCCAAAATATCCTGACCATCACCTTACCTGTGCCATAGGCTACTTTGTTTCTTCTTTTACCCTTCCTCTCTTTTCTCTCCTCGCCGTTCCTTACCTTGCATTATTGTAATCTTCCCTTCTTGATTGTGTTTATCCATCCTGTTTCTTGCTCTTCTGGCCAGCAACTTGAGACGGGCAAATAATCGCATACCTGTTCTTTACATGGCCCCTCTCTCCCGATAATGCGACCTTGCGACCACTCCTTCTCTGCGCAACCGATCCCTACTCGCCCCTGCCCGAGTTAACACTTTGGCTGATTTGCAAAATCTCTACCGTCCATCACAAATCAATACCCTTACCTGCGCGCGGCGGCCGCGGCGGCAACGACGACGAAAACGAACCGAGAAAAACGAGAACGTAGAGAATATGTGGCGGAGGACGTACCTGTTCCTTGTCCTGGTCAGGCTGTGGTTTGCGCTGTCACCTAGCTATCTGCACCCAGATGAGAACTTCCAAGGCCCCGAGGTCATCGCGGGTATGTGGTTCATTCCAGTCGCTTCTTCGTTCCGCGTTATTTTGTGCCGGGCGCGCGCAGTAATGCACGGCGTTCTTGGAGTTTTCCTCCCAGCTTCTGTGGAAGCTCACATTAGCTTTCGCGCTCGTTTTCGTTTTATCCACTAACGGTGTGGCGCAGGCCAAATCTTTAGCTACCCCGTTCGGCATACATGGGAATTTACAAACGAACACCCCATAAGAAGCGTCTTTCCGTTATGGCCTGTTTACGGCCTGCCGATGCTGCTGCTGCGATGGCTGTGGATTGGCAATGGTCAGGACGGGGAGATTCCCCCAATCGCCGTCTTTTGGGCTCTGCGCGTCCTCATGTTTGTCACCAGCTTCGTTTTGGAGGACTGGGCGATCCACGAGCTCATTAGCTCCCCACGACACCGTCGCGTTGCTGTGCTCCTAGTCGCATCGTCTTACGTGACGTGGACCTACCAAACACACACCTTCTCGAACTCTGTAGAATGTTTGGTCGTCGCATGGTGCTTAGTTTTGATCCAGCGCATTGTCGAAAGTCCGGTAGGGGATCCCTTGTCAATGCACCAATCGCACCTGAAGGTACTAATGCTTTTGACAGCAACAATCATCACTTCTTGCTTGCACAATACTCGGAGTCGTGGCTATATTCGGGTTGTTTAATAGGATTACATTCCCGGCATTCCTGCTAATCCCGGGACTTCGTTTGATACCCCATTTCCTTAACAGGTTCGCAATCTTGTGTACACCCAAACACGCAGATGAGCTGGCACTAACAACTCTGCAGACCCCTGTCACTCACCGTCATGGTGTTGGCTGCACTCACAACAACACTGGTTGCCATTTCCCTGGATACGGCATTTTACCTTTCTGAGCCCATTAAGTGGGCAGACCTAATCACTCGGCCTGTGATCACACCACTTAACAACCTCATGTACAACATCGACACTGAAAACCTGGCCCAGCATGGGTTGCACCCCTGGTACCAACACCTGCTAGTCAACATTCCCATGCTGGTCGGGCCGGCTGCTCTGTTGCTGTTTACCCAGCCACATATTTCGCTACGACTTTACTCTGCGATCTCTGGTGTTTTTGTTCTATCTATCTTCCAGCATCAAGAGGCTCGATTCCTACTGCCAACGGTGCCGTTGATACTCTCATCCGTCAACGTGCCGAAGAACCGCACCCTACTCCGAGTATGGATAGCATCTTGGATTGGCTTCAACTTCTTCTTTGGTATTCTTATGGGAATCTACCACCAGGGTGGTATCGTGCCGGGACAGGTTTTCTTGAGCAAGCAGCCGGATGCGACTCAGGCAGTTTGGTGGAAGACATATACCCCGCCCATCTGGCTCCTCAATGGCAAGAATGAGGTCCTCACTACCCACGATGTTATGGGTATGAAGGGCGAGGCTCTGCTCGAAAAACTAGACAAACTTGCGACGTGCGACACGCCGGCAGACAGGCGGAACTCGGAATATTTGAAGGAGAAGAACGGCACATATCTTGTCGCGCCGGCATCGGCGACATGGATCGACCCCTATCTTTCAAACAAGGGCCTCAAAGGTCTACGGTTTCGCGAAGTATGGCGGTACAGGCAACACCTGAATCTTGACGACCTCGACTTTGGCGACGACGGCGTATGGAACACTCTCACCAGGGTAATCGGTAGACGAGGCCTCGTCGCATGGCGGGTGACGAAGAGCTGCAAGTAAGCGGTGCAATGACCAAGGGAAAAAAAAAAGAAAAAACCAAAGAACAAGAGACATGGAATAAAGAGCTTAACGTTTGATGACATTTTACGAGCCTCCCCTTCAATGGAAGTGGTATCACACATGACCCCTATTATCGCGGAACTAATGCGGCGTCCCCGAACCGCCCCAAAAACTAAAAAAAATTAACTCCATGCCCGTATCGTTACGACAAACGCCAACCATTTCTGATGAACCCGCCAGCATTAGCCATCCTATATCGTGCAAGAACCAGGTTCGTTTATCCCGTGCAAAGTCGAATGTCTCCTGAACGCCCCCGCGCTGCTGTAGGGACCAAATATCTTCAAGCATACAATAGGGGAGTGTGTGCCCTATGCGCCCTAAACGTCGATACTCTCCCAACTCCTTTCATGTTCGTGTTTTTTTCCTCATGGCAACGTTGACACATCGGTGCCGTTTAGGTCAACGGCAAACAGCCAATTTCCAGAAACATTGGGCTTCCCCAGCCGGCTCTTCATCCAGCAAAGGCGGTAACCGTAGTAATCGCCCCAACCGGCCCCTACACATTCAGGCTCCGCTGCACACAAGTCAATGCAACTCGCCATGGTCGTCGCGTTTTCCGAAGCGAGGTCAATGGAGCCGTCCTCGCTATTGTAGTCGTGACCGCAAATAAGACGAAACAGACGGTCCGGTGAATTCTGCGCGGAAAACGTCGAGTTGTCTGCTGCAGGGCAGGTAATGTTTGCTGATGACGTTGAACGTACGCCTGTTGGTATGGTCCTGGTAGCCGGTGTCAGTACAACAACATTCAAAGGGGCACGATGGACCCGCGGCTTGAACTAACCCTGACCCTTTCGATTTGTTTCCGTCATCACCACTACCACTGCTACTGCTGCTGCCGTCGTTATTACTGCTGGACCTTCCTCTGGATGCCAACCCAGCTCCGAGCCCGACAGCAATGGCTGTGATGACAAGGGTCATGGCAACCGCAGTGACGATGTAAAACGCCTTCCGGCTCATCCCGCACACTCTCGGCCCAAGACCGAACCCATCCACAGACTTGGACTCGGGCGTTGGCTGGCGATGGAATCCTTCGGGGTGCTGGTTGTGCGGGTGCGAGTGCGGAAATCCGTCAGGGTGGCTGCCGTAGAGGGTGGTGCTGTACCCGCCAGGGCTCATCGCGGACAGAGTAGTCGGCGACGCGGCGGCCTCGAGGCCCGGGTGTTTCTTTACATGGTAGTCATGCCATGATTTTGGGTCTTCGATCACCTGCGGCGTTGACAGCGTCTTCGCGTCGAGCTGGTTGGGCGGCGCTACCTCCAGCAAGGGAGCGTCATTGGGACTCCAGGGGAGAGGCTGGACGACTTCGAGGCCAGATTCGTATTCCTGTGGATGCAATGTCTGCTGTTTTTTTAAATCCTCCTGCTTCGGTTGAATTATGCCCAGGAAATTCTCTTTTACTGAGGGATGGAACTTGAGGTTTTCCTCCATGGTCACTTTCTGCCGTTGACACCCGCCCCAGGAGGAAAACAGCTTCGGGTCCGAGGTGTTGAGGAACGGGGCGGGAATATCTGCCAAGCACGTCGAGTGCCGACAGATGTACTCCGTAGGAAAAGGAGCCTTGGTGGGCGGACTACCATCTAGTTGATCGCAAGAACCGGGGGAGGAACGAGACTAAAGTGAAAGCGAAGAGATTTTGACAGGGGGCAAATAGCTTATGAGGACCTGTCATGCGTAGTAAAATGAGCAAGACGAAGAACAACAAGCGAGACGGGCAGAGGCTAGTGTGTTAATACAACGTTTTGGCGTGTCCTCGGTGAGTCCGCTGGAGGGGGGTCGCGCCTCTTTTGGGATAGTTTGGCTCCAGTAAAGCGACAGGGGAAGTGCAGGAACTTCTCGCCAGCACGCATGTCCGTCAGGAAAGCGGCACGAAAGACACCCGGAAGGAATCTCCTCAAACACGGGGTTGGGGTACCACCAACACACAGCACCTACTATATGAATCTGCCCCAATGTTTGGGTACAATTTTGTGGTGCCGCAGACTTACATACTTCCTTCCTTCCTTCTCATGTTTTAATCGTTCAGGAACCAGGGCTAGAAGGGTCCTCGGCGTTGTCTCGCCCCGAACAGGGCCCCGCCCCGAAACTTTATCTCCTGTGCTCCCGCCATCGCCTGAGCTGTGCATCCATCCGCCTTAGCTCGCTCCAACGTTGCAATTTCTACTCTCCCGGACATTACGGCCCCTATCTCAGCCAAAGAACATAGCTCTAACGGCTCTTGGGAGGGAAAGCATTGGTCTGGCGATAAACAAGCGGGTTCTGCCGCCAGTTGTTCACTGCAATAAACCAACCGCTGCATCGCGCGTCGTACCGGTCGTGGGGAAGACAGTGTTTTTATTTTTCCCTCTTTAGCGAGATGTACAACAAGTCAAACCCCCCCCCCCCCGCCTTCTTGAAGAAAAACCCAGGGACCTGTCTCAATAATTGGTGGCATGCAAGGGGTGGGTAGTTCCTGCGTCTAAGTCAGCCCAATCAGGCGTTTTGGAACGGCAAATAGTGAATCGCGGATGAGCGGTTGGTTGGCTTGGTTTAGCTTGGCGTAGAAGTTTCTGGTGGCACGTCTCTCGTGCATCCACGCACGCCATTTGCAGCCACCATCTTCTCCCCGCAGGAGGTTGCAGAAATGTCAGATGCTTATGTGCAAAGATCCTTTTTGGTTGGGTTGCTACTAAGCTCGACCGCGGAGCCAGTCAGCGCGCGAGGTCAGACGGAAAAGACCTTCATCTTCTGCTGAACTTGATCGATTTGCTGCACTGAATGAACTAGATCTCACTAGCAGTATCTCCTGATTTTTCGATGTTGCTTTCCAAGCACCAAAGATACATCTTGGCTGTGGATAACGACCGTTTATTTGTAGCCATTGCGAGCTCCTCGGTCAGCCTGATAAAAGTTGGAACCAGCATTATGGCTGCTCAGTGACCTTCACACGTGGAATAGCATTTGAGCACCGCCATGCGGCTGAAGTAAGCGTAAATAGCATTCCCAAGTATGGGGCGTTTTTGTCACGTGGTAGTATATTGCCAGGAACTAGCAAACTCTATCAGACCTGTTCACCAAGTAAACAGGTGAACGCGACCTCCTCCCAACGACACATCGTCATGCAAGGAGGCTAACGATACAAGAACATTTTGGCCGCTAAACGTTCTGACATAATCGGCCAATAACATAGACGGCGGCCTCGCTTCCAAAGGGTCGTACTTGACTCCAACTCTTCGTACAAAGTTGTACCCAGACTGAGACGTCGGAGAGATAGTCAGCGCTTGATTTAGCCCGGCTACGGAAGTTCCTGTGCCATCTCTGCTCTGGAGCTCAAATGTATTCAATCTTCCAATGAGGTAATGGAACATAATCACAGAAATAACACAATAACAGGGTGAAAATATAAATGATTTCCCGAATGTTCCTTTTAAAATATTATATCATGAATAGAAATTACCGTTTTAACAGTAAATCCGTCTCGCATATCTGATTGTCTCTTGTAAACTGTAGCTATGAACTCCCTGGCTAACTTAATACACCCGCTACATCGTAAAAGACGAACCACAGCTCACTTGCGCCAACCCCACCAATATTATCACAAACTTCAAGGCAATTTGTCTTGTTGAAAAGTTGTACACACATCAGTAGACTACACACGGAGTAACATATGTCAGGCATAATTCAGCAAGACCGCCTAGACTCTTAAGGGTCTTGTACACTCTGGCTCCCAAGGATATGCAGAAAGTAACTGGACAAGTAATGGACAAGGACAAATCGCCCAGCTCCAGGGGGTAAACATCACAAGTGTTTACCAGCGAACATACATCAAAGAGTCAATTAAACTCTATATAACAGCCCTTCCGGCCACTGAAGCTTTGTAAGTCTACTATAATCCCACACGCTGCCGCTCCCCAGAATCTGATCGACGGAAGTTTTCCTTCGTCCGAGGTTTTTTTTCTTCAGCCCAATAGAATAATACCCTCTTGCATAGGGTCTGAGCACGGGGGTTGCTGAGGAAGCATGTAGAGTAGCGACGAATGTAACCCGCCAAGCCGCGAACATTGGAGTCACCTGTCACTAATAATCAGCATAGTTGCTGTCCCGTCCCCTCTTGTTGGGACGGGCCATATGACGTCCCAGGTGGTCAACAATCCTCTTCAACGCATTGTCTGCTTCCTTCCGGCTAACCTCCCCAGCTTCGCCGTAAGGCTGCTAACCCCAGCGGCTACCTTCCCGCTCGGCCTCCATTCTTCGCATCCGCTCTTCCTCATCGTCCATACTGATGGCCTCGCTGCGGCGTCCCTTCCTTCGACTCCGCTTCCCATCATCTCCACCTTCGTCTCTGCTGCGCTTGACACCAGCCAAGCCGGCCAAGCCTGCCATGCGCTGTGTCTCTTTCAGCAGACGCTCACGATCCCTAGCCTCGCGTTCGAGGGCGTGGGCGTCCTTCGTGGGAGCGCTCGGCGCCGACTTGCTGTTGATAGAGGCCTGAGATCCTCGCCGGCCTGACTCCGGTCGGTCGGACGACCTGCCGGGCTTGCCGCTTGCACCCCTAATCTCCAGACCAGGTGCGCCACCACGAGGGCCAGCAGGCGGGTTGAAGTCCTTCTCCACTGGCGTTGACGACTCTGGCGTGTGTTTGCGGCTGCTGCGATGCCGGTGTTCGCGGTCTCTGTGCCTATCGCGCTTCCGGTCCTTTTCACGATCTCGGTCCCTATCTTTGCGGTCACGGTCGCTATCCTTACGGTCTCGGTCGTAGTCACGATCCCTGTCGCGGTCTCTGTCTCGGTGCGAACGGTGGCTAGACTTTCGGTGATAATCGTAGTCGTCATCATCCCGATACTTGTCCTTGTCTCGGTCGCGTCGTTTCTCGTCACGATCCCTGCGGCTTCGATGAGTAGATCTCTTAGAGTCGCTTGGCGAGGCAGACCTGGATCTTTCTTCGTAACCGTCGTCCCTAGACCTAGACTTGGTTTCATCGTCGTCGCCGTATGCGTTGTGCTTTCTGCTCCTATGCTTCCTGCGGCGGTACTCATCATCTCGGTCACCACGATCTCCACGATCTCCACGGTCTCCGGCAACCGATCTTGATTCGGAGCGCCTGCGCCTACGTCGATGACGATCGCCGCGGTCGCCGCGATCGCTCTTACGCTCTCGGCTGGGTTCCCTAGTGCGTGAGCGTGACCTAGAGTAATCTTGATCTCGGCCGCCATAGTCCTTTTCTGACCTGTTATCAGGCTCTCTTTCACGATCTCTGCTCGCTTCCCGACGACGGTTTCTATCCTTATCCTTAGTACGCGTTGAGGAGCTGCTCCTGGATCTAGGTTGTTCCACATTAGGGCTTTGTGGAACTGGAGCATCTACTGGCGACTGTTGGACCTGCTCGTCAGGAATGACATATCCTCGTGCCCGCAAAGTATGCAAACTGGTATTCGGCAGCCCTTGCCGCATAGCTTTAGGTCCTGTAGGAGCATTCAAAGGAACATCAGGTGGCGCAACTGCGAAACCCTGGTTCTGATTTGGAAATCCTGGTGGTCCATAACCTCCAGACATGCCGTTGCCGTTAAAACCGGAGAAGTCACCTTCCTGCTCTGACGCATTTATTGAGCCCATTTCATTCTCGCCATCGTTAACTGGCTTTGAGCCGTCAGCTCCCTCAGCTTCGTTGTCGCCTCCAACATTCGACTTTTCGTCCTGTTCGTTGCGTTCACGACCAAACTCATCCACGTTACCGTCCGCCCGGTTCGCATCACTTGAGCCTTGGCCTTGCATTCCGAAGCCGTACTGCTGTTGCATCTGGCCTTGGTCACCGTAGCCGCCATACTGTTGGTATCCGCCTCGACCATAGCCTCCGCCGTAAAAGCCGCGGCCTCTTCCACGTCCACGGTTGCCGAAATTGTTCCGGCGGTAATCATTGAATTGGTGACCATAATTACCTTGATTGTACCCTGACTGGAATCCTGAGTTATAGTTGCCATAGTCACCAGATCCCATGCCAGCAGCATTAGCAGAATTGAAATTATCTTGGCCGAAATTCCATGATTGTTGCCCGTTCCAGTTATTGGAGCCCGAGCCGAAACCACCGCCGAAGCCACCCATGCCCATGCCTTGAGGACCATAGCCGCCGTTCATGTACATGTTCTGCATCGCCATTGGGTCCATACCCATTCCTGGCATACCTGACAGCGTGTTAGCCTCTGCAGTTGACGCGTTGCAAAATGGAACCGTACCCATCATTGGAAAGTTACCAAAGGAGTTGGATCCCATGCCATTCTGCATGGCCATCATCATTTGCATCTGGCTAAAATCACCGGATCCATTGAATGAGAAATTGCCTCCGTTCATGGAGTTAAAACTCATATTCGCATTCGTATTTGCATCGTCGCTCTGAGCCTCGTCATTCTCTGCAACGTCATCATCCTGCTGTCCTTCTCGCTTAGTGCCATTCGCTGCGTCTTCGTCGCCTGTTATGATGACGGTTTCGTTGTCGTCCTCCTCTCCCTTAGAGACGGTAGGCTCCTCTTGATGTTGCGCGTCCTGGTCAACTTGTAAGCGAAATTCGTCATGCAAGGTTTTGCGTGCAGTACGAACATCATGATTCTGGGCAGCAGCGGCATCAGCTTCATCCTTATGGCCTACTTCTGTAACTGGAGCTGGCGCAGCTCCCACGTCGGTCGTCTCGTCCGGCTTGGGTACCGCAGCAGGTTGCGGAGGTGTCTCGACAGCGGGGGATTCGGAGGGGGCAAGCGACTGCACGATCGGCTTGGGATCGATGGGAGTCGGGGGCGCAGAATCTTTTTCTTTTGCCCGCGCCTCTTCGCGCTTCTTTTCCTGAGTGCGAAGAAAGACTTTGATCGTTGTCCGCAGAGATTTATGTGGCGTACAGTCATCAGCGGAGACCGGCGAGTGCTCGCAAACCGGGCAAGACGATGGGAGAGAAGATTGGCCTGCTTCAAGTTAAAATTTGTCGTCCGAGTGCGATAATAATGATAGAAGATAGTACTGACATGTCTCGCAAATAGCCTGTTCGCAGCAAGGAAGGCGGAACGCATTCACTGCCAACTTACTGCAGATGGCGCATCGCAGCTTAATAGGTATGTCGTCAGGCGCAAGAGAGCTGGAAAGGCAACTCCGTCAGCAAGAATAATCGCATGGAAAAGAGCGCCTCAACTTACCTGATGAGCTCGGCCTGAGCCGGGGTAACTGACGAAGCCATGCCGTCGTCGATTGTGTAAGAAAATCAAGACGAGGGATACATGGGTGGTTTAGTTGAAAAGTACAGTAGAAAAAAAAGGCTTTTGGCCGGTAGACGCACAGCCAGTATTAGTACGAAGAAGAAGATATCAGCGTGTCGCGTGGGACACGGTCATGTCGACAATCGTGTTGTTGGCGGCTTGCGCAGAAGTCGTTCCGTAGTAAAAAGATTCTGTAGTAACGAGGAGTTTGAGGTGCGAAGGCGCGGGAAGGACAGAAAAAAGGTGGGACGCGTGGGCGGCGACTACCCAATCATTCACCTCCATTCACCACCCCGAACTGCCTGTTTTACAGTGCTTGCTTTAGAACCGGCCACTGACGACCGGCCCACCGCTAAATTACTCGCTCGCCTCCAGAGGCGTCACTGAAATGACATGGTCTCACAAACAACGGCAACAGATGAATCGTGACATGAGAACAATAAGCTACTAAACCGTCTTTGAGTGTATGTGATTTCTGTCTACATAATGCACCGACAACTGAATCATTTCCAAACTGACCAGCGCATCCATCCCAATGTCCGTTTCTGCATCCTTGCGACTATAAAACCACAATGTTACACAACGGAAAGCAAGCATGTAGGGTGTGTGAGTGATAGTGTGCTACCTCAGGAATGTGACCATTATCTGCCTCCCAACCAATGACAAGCTTTCCCAGTTGCTACCGGATGGTCGCTTCCCATAAAATAAATGAACCCTATAGCAGAAATGCAGCGCATAAAAACTAGAGACTCCAAGATAAAAAACCATTCCCTTCTTCGCCAAGTCCCCGGTTGTCACACAAGTTCGTCGTCGTAATCAGCAAGCGCATCCGTCCTTCGCTCCGGCATCTCTTGGGCCAGTGAGGTTGACCGGCTGCTCCGATGCGCCGCGGCTCACGGCGTGCGACGCACCCGCGCCTCTCGCGCTCTTCAGCGAAGTCTCGGGGATGGCGTTGGCGATCGCGGTAAAGACCTCCGTGACGTTGTGACCCGTCTTGGCACTGGTCTCGAAGAAGAGCAGGCTCTCCTCCTCGGCGTAAGTCTTGGCTTCCTCCGTAGAGACCTTGCGGGCATCACCGCCAGCGTCCTGCCCATCGGCGTCCTCGCCGTCGCCGGCAGATCCGGCATCTCCTGCGTCGTTCGTGAGATCGAGCTTGTTACCGACGAGGGCGATAACGATGCCCGGCGACGCTTGTCTCTGGAGCTCGGCGACCCAGTGCTTGGCCTTGATGAGTGACGTGGGCTTCGTAAGATCGTAGACGACGAGCGCGGCTTGGGCGTTGCGGTAGTACATGGGCGCCAGCGAGGCAAATCTTTCTTGACCGGCGGTATCCCAGATTTCGAACTTGATCGTCCGGGTAGGCAGGTTGCACTTTTGTGTCAAAAAGGCGGCTGCAGATTGCAGGTTAGCTATACAGGTCCACTGCAAGGCGGCGACATTCCGTACCTCCGATGGTAGGTTCCTTGTTCTCTTGGAAGTCGTTGTTAACGAAGCGCAAAACTAGCGACGACTGGGATATAATTTAGCATGGCACATCTTGATGAATAAGTGCATCTAATGGGGTGTGTTACCTTTCCAACGGCAGCTTCACCGAGCAAAACCAGCTTGACGCTGCTGCTCGGCTTTGGGGCACCGCCGGATCCGTCCATCTTTTTGTCGGTGTATAGAGTCGATAGCGACTGCCCTTTCGAAAGGTCTGTAGGGTTGCGAAAAGCAAAAAAATTCGATGATCGGTTCGGATGGAACAGACAGCAGATTTAAGATGGATTGCTGCCTTGTCGCGATGGGTTGACAGATTCGTAAGTGATATGGAAGACCACAGCTCGGCCACTGAAACAACGAGGGTGGTGAGGCGCAACAATGACGAAGCGCCCCCCCGAGGAGGCAGCGACGGAGGTTGGCCAATGCTCTTGCTCGGAGCTCCATTGATCAGAGGGGCAGCGGAGAATCAATCCGCCGGGTCCGCACCGGAAGCCCCGCCAAAATTCCATCCTTGCCAAGCAGGGTCACAGTGCAGCAGCTCGCTGCGCGGCAGAAAAAAAAGTTCCTTGACCACCTTTGAATGTTGATCCGGGGAGCGTCAACCAAAGGCGTTTCTACAAATATTCTTCTAAATATTACCCCATCTTGAATTCTGCACGTGTAGGGTCGAGAATTTGCAGAAAATTCGACAAAATGGCGCCCGAAACTAAAAAGGAATCGGTGCCCAAGAAGGTCAACCTTTTGGACGACAGCGATTCCGACGATGAGGATGGAGGGGCAGATATTGCGATGCCGCAGTTGAAGGTCAATGAGGAGTATGCGAAGCGTTTTGAACACAACAAGAAGCGAGAGGAGATACAAAGGCGTAAGCAGTTCCCAATCGCGTGCATCTTTCATAAATCTAACCAAAACTAGTCGAGGAAAAGTTCAAGAAGACTGGTAAGAAGGGTGACGACGACGAGGACGACGATTCCTCATCCTCCGACGAGACCGAAGACGAGGAAGGTTTCCTGGCCACTGAAGAACTCGACGCCCAAATTTCCGCCACCCTGAGCGCCATCAAGAACAAGGATCCCCGTATGCGCGACGCGAACTTCACCTTCTTCAAGGAGGGCCCTGGCGCCAATGCCGAGCCGACCCCTTCCAAGAAGAAGGAGAAGCCCCTGTTTCTCAAGGACTACCACCGCGAGAAGATTCTTGCAGGTGGTGTAGGTGCGTCAGACGATGAGGATGATGCGCCGCCGCAGACGTACGCGCAGGAGCAAGACGCCCTCAAGAAGTCCATCATTTCCGAGATCAACAAGGCAGCCGAAGAGTCGGATGAAGATGAGGAGGGCGACTTCGTCAAGAGGAAACCCGGCCAGAAGGTTGACCTTGGCGCCGACGGCGTCCACCCCTCCCGCACGGGCAAGGTTGCCAAGAAGACTATCACCGAGGACGACATTGCCAACGCAGAAAAGGACCCCGAGATGTTCCTGTCCAACTTTATGGCTGCGCGCGCTTGGACAGAGGGTGGCGAGCACGACTGGAAGGCCTTTGATTCAGACGAGGGCGAGGGCGAAGGCGAGCTGGCAGACAAGTTCGAGGAGGCATACAACCTGCGCTTCGAAGACCCGGAGAAGTCCAACCAGGCGCTGAAGACATACTCTCGTGAGATTATCAACGCGCGCACCGTCCGTAAGGAGGCTGCCAGCTCGCGTAAGCGACAGCGTGAGCTCGAGAAGGAGCGCAAGGAGGCGGAGAAGCAGCAGCGCAAGGAGGAGAGGGCGCGCCTGCGCAAGCTCAAGCTCGAGGAGGCCGAGGAGAAGCTCAAGAAGATCAAGCACGCGGCGGGCCTGAGCGGCAAGGAGCTCAGCGACGACGAGTGGCTGCGATTCCTCAACGACGCGTGGGAGGACGACAAGTGGGAAGACGAGATGAAGCGCCGGTTCGGCGAGGAATACTACGCCGAGGTGGAGGGCGGGTCCGACTCGGACGAGGAGGACGAGGCGGGAGACAGCGACAAGAAGAAGAAGCGCAGGAAACCGAAGAAGCCCACGTGGGACGACGACATCGACATCAAGGACATCATCCCTGATTTCAAGGACGACGAGGAGCGGCCGCAAATCACGCTCTCAGACGACGAGGGCGACGCGGCGGCGGCAGCAGCAGCAGCAGAAGAAGAAGGCGGCGATGAGGAAGATGAGGATGAGGACGGCCGCCCGTCCAAGAAGCGCAAGACCACAAAGGACATCAAGAAGGAGCGCCTGGCCTCCAAGAAGGCGGCCAAGGCGGAGCGCGCCAAGCTCGAGGCCCTCGTCGACGCCAAGATGGACCTCGACATACCCGCCGCGTCGTCCTCCAAGACGCCCGAGATGTTCGGCTTCCGCTACCGCGAGACGTCGCCGCAGTCATTCGGCCTGACGGCGCGCGACATCCTGCTGGCCCCCTCGGACTCAGCGCTGAACCAGTTCGCCGGCCTCAAGAAGCTCGCCACTTTCCGCGACGAGGAGAAGAAGCGCAAGGACAAGAAGCGCCTCGGCAAGAAGGCCCGCCTCAGGCAATGGCGCCGCGAGCACTTTGGCGCCGAATTCGAACGCACCGGCCCGACGTTCGACTTTGAGGACGCAACGTTCAAGGACAAGAACAAGAAGAACAACAAGAAGTCCTCTTCTTCCGAGGCCCAGGAGGAGAATGCCGAGGACGGAGGAGCTATGCTTGATGGCCAGAGCAAGAAGCGCAAGAGGTCCAGGGGAAAGAAGAAGGAGAGTGCCGCGGAAGAGTAAAAGAGACTATCTCTCTCTCTCTCTCTGCCTGTGTGTATATGATGACCAAAAACCCAAAAAGCAACCCAATCAATTTCTTATATGTCTATGCATTAAATATTTCGTGGGGGCCCAGGATATAGAAAAACCTTTTTTTTTTATTTCTAGATACAGCGATACCTTGTTGCAGATTCTTCCCCGTTTTAATTCTCGGGACGGGGTGTATAATCAGAACAATGGGACATTTGAAGAAGAAAAAAATCAAAAAAGGAAGAAGAAAATGAAGCAAATCGTCTCGAGTCTTCGTACTGCATTATTATCATGGTTGGTATCTCACAAGTATATCGGAATCGCTACGCTACTCCCAAGCAGACATTTCTCCCTCCCAATGGTTTCCGGTCCTGGTTCATTCCGTCCGTCCCGCCATTTTAAGCCATTCATAAATAAGAGAGAAATCGTAGAAACGATGCGGGAAAAAATGCTCAAGGCATATACAGGTAATACAGTGCTCAAAGGCAACCCCGGCGCCTTGAATATTGTCACAGCCCTCTCTTGTCATGGTATTTAATACGTGAAATGCGGGTCTTTCACCACCCAACTTATCGCGCACCGTGGTGCAAGCCGTTGCTAAACATGTTGCCGAACCCGTCGAGATTCATGCCCATGTCGTGGCCGATCTCGGGCGGTTTCATGTTGAAAGGCATGAACCATGCTGACGACGCTTCCTGGCCAACAAAACCCATGCCGTCTCCCTGTCCGTGGCCGTGGCCAGCGCCCATACCATTGATTCCGCCGCGTTGAGGCCGCGGCCGAGAGCCCTCTCGGTGCGCCCCGGAGGCGTTGTTGGCGCCTGTAGGCATGCCGTCCCAGTCGATGCCGTCGAACTGGCCTGCCATGTTTCCTGGATCCATCGAATAAGCACCCAAAACAAGCTGCCGGTCGAGAGGTTGAAGGATACCGTTCTGCTGGTTGAGGGACATGCTGAGTAACTCGGGAGGGTAGAACGACGGTGGTCCTTGGTGGTGATGCGCGAACTGACCGACAGCTATAGGGCTAATCGGAGACATAGCGTGGTAGGACGAGCCTTGTGAGTGAGACACGTTAAGAGCATTGAAGCTGGCAGGGCCGCTGGTCTGGCCACCTAGCGCACCGGACATGCTTCGTTGTTGATGCATGCGAGCACTCAGTTGCTCCTGTGCTGACGCGGCGATGTTCTCGGTAGAGAGCGGATCAAGCTGGCTTCCGTCAGATCGCACGCTAGCCGCACCCAGTTTTTTTCCTGCAAAGGACCTGCGCTTCGACGGGTTGGGCCGCGACGGATTGCCTTCAGTGCTCGGAGGTGGAGACAAAGTTGTAAAGAATTCCTCAACAGTGTGCAGCTCCGGCTTCTGCTCCAACACTGCATCATCCCCCTTCTCCTTCTTCTTGTGCGTTGCCGGATCGGAAAAGTCGGACTGTGATACGCCGTGGGGATACCGATCGAACCAGTCACCGTATTGGAACATGGGCGATGCCGTCGACGACTCTTTCTTCTGTGATCCTCCCCTTGCAGCATCCGCACATGACCGGTACTGATCGCGAAGATTTTCCGACATGTAATGAAACATGCCCCAGTACCTCTTCATTTTCGAGAGAAACTTGACATTGGTTGCAAGGTTCCTCTTGGATGCTGCCTCCACGGCAGGGTTACCAGAGAAAATGCCTAGAGTATGGACGGTGCCAGACGAAAAGGCGCAGTATCCAACGAAGGGGGCCGTAACCATATAAGACTCGGCATCTTTGAGCACCTCCGAAATGCGGTTCGCAGCCGTGAAAGTCTTGTCTCCAGCTTTAGCGATGAAATCCCGAGGTATGTCTTGGGTAACGGGGCTATTTGGCGCTGCAACAGCCACTCTGTTCAAGAACAAAATGTTCTGCTGCATCGCAATATGCAGGAAGAGATACTGGTTCGCCATCTTTTCTGTGTCATGGAGCTGTAGGTTCTCCGGTGAGTATTTCAGGAAGTCGGGAGTGCTTTCCAAAAGCTCTTCCGCATCCTTGATCAGCCCCGCGTACTGGGACTCAGGACTCCAGATCGGATGGGGGTCAAGCTCTTTTCCTCCCTGGTTCAGGTAGGTAATAATCTTACCCCACAGCGTAATTGTCTTGATCATGTAGGCGGCGACACCCATGTTGTCCTTGGCATCGGCAAATTGATCACCTTCTCCAAGTGCCGCATGAGGAACTTTGCCTCTCAACGTTTCCGTCGGGGCAGGCATATCGAGCTGGAAGTACTTCTCCTTGATGGGTAGCGGTATCTCGATGGTTTCTTCCCTCACAAATGTCGGCCGTTCTGTCCCTGATGAGTTGAAACGGTCCATGAGAAAGCAGGCCCACATTGTCCTCCGTCGTATCTCCCGGTCGATAAAGCTTAGTTGCGATGATCCATTTCGGTTCAATGGGTCGTGGTCCAGGTCCTTGTGGAGTTGCAGTGCAAAGGCCATGCGGATTGCTTGTCCACCGAGAGCCCAGCTCCTGCCACCATGGCAGGTGCCGAACTCGTGCAGGCCTAAAATCAGGAGACATGTCAAAATCGTGATGTTAGGCCATTCGTACCGCCTGGTGCAAATATCTCTGGCATGGGAGGCCCATTCTTCTCCACGGAGGAAGTTAGGTGATGAACTGTTGAGCTTCGGGTGGTTGGAAAAGCGGGCGGCGATGGCACAAACAGATAGGACGAGAACTGGCGGTAGCGTGCCGGCTCTGCAAGGCGGCAAAAGTAAGCGTAAAGCAATCTATTACATGAAACGAGCTGAACATACCTGAGTTTTCTCATGTAACTCGGCTTGTGGAGAAGGTGATAGGCTTGACCATATATGTTTTCGAAGAAAACCTCGGCGAGGTGCTCCTGTAATTCCTTGGGTGGGAGAGCGTCGAGGCCCTCAAGGAATAACCTGTTCTCCTCCGCCTCTTGAGCTTGCAGCGAGGTCGGTTTACTGGGCGCATCAATTTTCGATTTGGTCGGTGCTTTCGCCCAGTGATCGAGGTCCTGGCCAAAGGCTTCATCGGAGCCTCTCTTCTTAGCGTTGGCCTTGGAGGTGGGAAGTGAGCCTGGAATCGCTGGCTTGACCACAGCCCGCGTCAGTGACGCCGCGTTCGCATCTTGTTCACTCTTGGGTACGATCTTGATGATGCGCTCCTCCATGCGCTTCAGTCTCTTATCTAGCATGGCCATGTAGTCGGTACGCGGTGCGGCTTTCCTCGTCGTCACTTTATACACACAGGGAATCCGAGATCGCAGACAGTGCTTGCATGCGGGCTTTTCACCGGAACATCGAATCTTCTTTCGCCGGCAAGCGATGCACGCCAAGGGAAGCCGTTTCCTCTCTTTGCCAGCTTTCGTCTTCAACTCACTCCATGCGGGCGTCTGATCAGTCTTGTCCTCCTTGGACTTTGCGTTCATCTCGGAACTACTTCCGGCAGCCTGCGTGGGTAGGCCAAATTCGTCAGCGCCGGCATCTTCAAGAGAGTTGGGCTCCGCATGGCCGCTGTCCTGACTCCCGTCCTCCGAGGCGATGATGCTATGTCGTCGTTGGTCCATGGCCTGTCCATAAGCAACGGGCATGACTGTTATGGAGTTTTGGTGGCCGCCCATGGAGGATATCGAGGGTCGGTGCGACGTGGAAAAGATGTCGGCAGCATGGTCTGGCTCTCCGAGAAACATGATTGGATTTTGGTCTTGGAGATCGTGAGGTGGGAAGGAAAAATCATCGGCAAAGGGGGAGGCGTCTACAAGGCCCTGGGAGACACTGTTGGACCGCATTCCGTCATTGGGGGTTCCTGAAGAAAAGGGTTGATGAGAGGCGGAAGAAGTGGTTATGTGTGATTGAGCGCCGGGTGAGTCTAGACCGTGCTGTGAGTAGTCAAGACTGGCAGCCCTGAATTGTTGACTTTGGAGCTGCTGCAAGCTAGATGACATTGTCTTTGTCATCTATGCAACAGAGAAAAGATCAACAGAGGGGCGGCGATGGTAGGTGACAGTCCAGAGCAAGCTGACTCCCCGCACGCGCCGGCGCAAAGGATGGTGGTGTTCGTTGCTGTCCCTGTTTATGCCTTCCGACCGCAGTGTAAGTGTGAGTTGCGGGGGTTACAGCGGTCTCAAGAAGGACCATGATACGGCGCGGGAAGACTCGTCTTGGCTCGGAGCAGTCCAGTCGCGTGCCCGTCGCCGGAGCTCCTCTTTTATTATGTATTTTTCTTAACTCCAAAATCCAGGTGTCGGTCAGTTGGTTGAGGCGGGGAAGAATTGGAATTATGTGAATAAGGGTGGAGGACAAAAGCTTACTCTTTCTTTGAAGGCAAAGGAGAAAGAGAGAGAGAGGAGGCGTCGAGGGTTTGTTGGAGAGAAGAAAGCCTGACTCGGCGCTCGTCGAATGGCAGAAGAGAGAAGGAGGAGCGAGACCAGACCCAGGCAAGCCGAAAACCAAACCAAACCAAACCTGCGGACCAGATTTGCGATTTGAGCAGAGATGGGGAACGTCGGCTTGGAGTAAAAACTGGGGTCGGGGAGGGGGTGAGGGGGAAGCAATGGGAGGCGTGTGGTAATAGAACGCCTCTGATTGCGTGGAGGCAAGCCAGACAGCGAGCCCTGAGTGGTCGAAATAGCTCTAGGTGGTGCTGGCTCAGGCGTGGGTATGCGCCAGGTGGTGGTGGATGCAGTACAGTTGCAGGTGAGAAAGAGAGAGAGAGAGAGAATGCAGGCGTCTTCGGCGGCGAAATTATGGGGTGCTTTCTGTGCTGCGTGCTGCGTTGGAACGCCGCCAGCACCGGGGTCCCCTAGTAGTAGGGTCTTCTGCGCTGCGGGTACTTCTTGTTCGTCACAGACAAGCCTGGGGGGTGTGCGCCACTCCACTGAATGGCAGGCCCTAGCCCCAGGTAGCCACTGCGTGTACTACGGAGTATGTAGGGTGTCTAGGACACCTTGTCCACGATGCCCTGGGGCTGGTGCTGTGTCTGTCTCTGGTGGCCTTACCAGGGCTGTCTTGGTGGGCCTTGTTAGTACAAGTCTCGAATTCGTCCTCCCTGTGGGATCCGGATGGAGATGCGACGCACCGCTGGAGAACCTAATACGCTGCTCAACTGCAGACAGCAGCGATCGCTAACATTTGGCAGGGCTTTACCGCGGGGTAAATGGATAGGATGCACCTGTGGATGTCGTGGTTGTGATGTAGCGGCGACTTGTTCAACTGTTCAATGGTTCACTGGCTCGGCGACTTTCCTCTCCATATCAGTCGAAGGGCGACGTGGAACTTCGTTGGCGAGCTAGTGCTGTCTGTAGCTTTGACGGAGTAAGACCTTCTCCCCTTTCAAAGCAAGGTTTAATGCTGTTTTGGGACAAGTCGAAGAAGGAGCTAGCGATAGCGACAACAATGGGCTGCCGGTACGATTTTCAGAAAAGAGGTGAGGGCAATGCATCGAAGATCGGCCAAGCTTTTTCGGGGGCGCGCAGAAGCAGAAGAGGAAGACGTGGGGTTTTATACAGGCATGCAGAGAATTGGGCCAGAAAGAAGATGTATGCGACTGTGCATAGTATCAACTAATTTCCTGGAACCAGAAAAGACGGGCAGACAAAGTCGAAATTATACGTCAAAGGCCATATACTTGGCATGCCACCTTGGTCCATGCAACCTGCGTTACGATTGCATCTACAATAATAGAGAAGTCAGAGTTCGAAGAGGGTGTTGCTACCTCCCGCAGGGGACGGAGATAGCCAGCCAAGGTAATCTAAGACCAGACAGCTCGTTTGTAAACATGCTGGGGATGTGATATGAGGTGTATGAAGTGCAGCAGGAAAAAAGAAAGTGTGTATAACCCAGCGACTCACATGGGCACGCCAAGTATACGCCCCTCAACTGCAACTGCACATGAAGATGAGATATCCCAAATGAGGTCTTTACGGATGATTTGAGTTGAACATCCAGAAACCCCCGTGAGCAAGGGTCTGGAGCTTGTGTATGTATACTCGTCGCTTTGTAGCCAGCGCATACTAGATAGTAACCCACACTTAACGCATGTAGTGTATGGCTGTACCTCTACTAGGTAGTACGCGACGCTTAAACCTGTCTTCAGCAGACATCGGCCGCTCCTGATGAAGCCCTGTCTGCTTTGTCCCAGGGATGCTATCGCTTGGGGAATCTGCGATTGCAATCCATGCTGTTGCACGTTCCTCTGTATTCTCTCCGTCACTCTCTTACTCTTCGGAGGCAACCCCGTTGACTTTGAAGGCCAATGCAGACAAGATTCTCCAATGCGTTCCCGGTCCCAAGACCCACTGGATGGCAGTGCGAAAATAAGTACATATGGATTGGTGAGAGGCAGAAGGTGAGAGTCGGGGGGTGGGGGTATGGAGTCGAAAAGGGGCCCTGGACGGCGCGCCGAACCAGGCATGGATGGGGGGGAAGGATGGAAGGACCGGAAGTCAAGTGGGGCCTTAACGACACAATAAAGGCACCTTCCGAGGCTCTCCCGGTTCAAGTGGATACATGCGCGGTGCCCAGAGCAAATACCATGCGGATATCATGGATATTCCTGATGAGGCGCAAATGTTTCTCTATGTATAGCCCGGCCTACGACTACAAGGACATGGGAAGCGTATCAAGGAAAGCCTCATCGTGCCAGTAGGGATGGGTAGGTTGATGCGGGAAGCCATGAGTGAAGCGTATGTAGTTACCACTGAAAAAGACAGCCCTTGGATACAAGCGGAGCTGATTACTGTACTGTAGAGCAGGGTGAATCGCACAAACCTAAGAGGAAGATGCTGACGAGATGGGATACAGGAAAGCGGTTAGCCAGACTTCAGTTGATGCCCTCGTTACTTTTCTGTTCATGTTTCAGGCGTCATAATGGATTATCAGTTTTTTGCGTCGTCAACGAGCGGTTTTGCGGTTGTATCTTCGAGCGAGGTGCCAGTTATCTTGCTGTGCCTCGGCTGTGTTAACTTCAACAGGCGGCCACAACGAGGCGATAGCGCCAAGAAATCACCAGGATATAACCAGGAGCGCGAGCTGCAGGTTCGTGTCGGTTTGGGCATGATCCGTGTTTGTCCGGGCTGGCCCAGACCACCGTGCAGCTACAGCATCCTCTCTGCCACAAATAGGTTGTTCGGTGTTGTGGCTTCTCAAGTACATCGACGACAGTCGGATCTGTACGGGATGGCACCCCGACTGCAACCATTACAAAGCATGTCTGACGCAAAGATAAAGTTGTCAGAAGGGCAAGCTTTTAGCAGTAAAGGATGAGGTTTGCCGAAGTCGCCGCCAAGTTGGGCCTCAGCAAAATCACTATGATGGGGCGTATGGATAGGTTAGGCGCTTTGACTTTCGAAAATTGGGCGGTGGAACCATGAGAAGATGGCATATTGCGACTGAAGAGCATGTCTGTGTTTTTCATTTCTTGTCATTCTTGCAACGATAGCCTGAGGCCAGCAGTGCTGAGTTGAAGTCTGGGTTCGAAGTGGAACGCAGGGCAATCCCATAGACGATCAGAAGGCTAAGGTATTTTAGAGAACGTCATTTGGCTGTATCAGGGATCAGCTAGCTTCAGTGTGAGGTAACTTGGCCCTTGCTCTGCGGTCAATTGTGTTGTATTGCTTAGACTGGTAGTGACGAAAGATGAAGTTGGGAGGGTGGCACACGAGACTGGGGAACGAGGGGTGTCGATGTCCATGAGGTGTGCGCTCCGTCTCGAACGGTCGAAATTCGGGGTTGACGAATTGAAGGGAAAGGGTGGGTTGTAGAGGGTATGGAGAAGGCAGATCACGATATGACCGAGCGATTACAGGAAGGGTATGGTGTGGAGGGAGGGGCGGCGTTTACTAAGAACGCAAAATGCACCAGGGAAGACAATGTGTGATTATATAACAACGGAATGTGGGGACTGACAAAGACTTGTGGGTCACCTCACTCAATACCGGCGACAGAAAGGAAATTTTCTGAATGACAGACAACGCCATAGGGTATAAGTTTACATAGCGAGCTTGGGTCTATTTGGGGCTAGTATTAGCTTTGAATGAATGCGATACGAACCAAAGGCCACCTAGGGCCAGCTGTTTAGTTCTATCAATCCAGGGCAAGGCACCACGGTCAACTTGCCCACTCATGTGTACCCAAGGTGAAGTTCGTTATGAACAAAATGTCAAGGTAAACTTTGAAAGGGATTCTGAGCCATACTTACAGGCCAGTGATCCGCATCATGGTTCACACTTGGCTCATGCCTGCAGGAGGGGTCGCCAGATAAATCTTCAGCACTTTGCTCTGTACTCCGTACTACCGGTAGTATCCACGCTACATTCCTCGAGGTGACATTCTTCGCGTGCAGATAGACACCTGAGGATCGCCCAACAAGTCGCTAATATGAAAGGATCCGCGAGCCACACGGCCACTCGGTGATCAACAATATCCAAAGACTTCCCTGATCTGCCCTTGCCTTCCACCCGAGGCCAGGCCCCCGCGCTGTCCACTTGGCGGGGCAACGACAATTGAGTAGGGAGGTCTGATCAAACACTCTCCACTATCCAGCCACCAGACTTCGTGCATTCCTCAGGAACCCGAGGACCATAGGTATCATGATCCATAACTGGTATCCATGAGAAGCTGGGGAATTGGCTCAAGAATGTCTCGTCCGTGTCTCTGTCTGTGCCCTCGAATTGGATCTACAAGGGTGCCGTCTGTTCTTTGTCACCCTTTTGCCTCAGCATGGACCCATCTACAGGATATTCCACTTCATCTTGGTGCACGGCATGTTGGCGAAATATTTGCATAAAAAAAGAAAAAAAAAAGGTGTTAACTGATAATCAAGATACTGGCAAGGACTCTTGCTTGGGATGACATGAGCAGAATCGAGAAAGTAGTTTCTCAACTTGCTTTGGCCAGGATGACAAAGCTTGCAAAGAAAAAAAAAAAAAAAGAAAAACAAGAACTA